GGACAAACCTAGTAAGGCTGGTCGCAGGTCTGGGGCCAGACCTTGTGTTACTTACATGTATGCTCAGCCGTGCATAAATTTAGGCCTACGTAGGCTACGTTACACTTGAAATCCTCCGCACTGCTCCAGGATGTCACTGGCTCTGCCTCAACATATTGACAGTGATTGCTGGAGGCTTTTGCAGGATTGAGGCAGTGGTCACCCCTCCAAGGACCACATTCAAGAAATAAGACTATTTTGCAGGATTGAGGCTGTATGCAATTTTTACATGGAGGCAGTTGGAGGATTTTGCAGGATTGAGGTTGCATCCTAGCAAAAATGCCTGGGGAGTTAGGGTTAACAAATAAATATGACACACTGAGCAAGGAGAGCATTCTGTCGGACAGTGCCAGTAGCAGTACATGATCAAATATTTGCCCAGTCAAATCGCTACTTTTTCCTTTCAAAATTAATCTCAAAGTAAACAAGTATTTGTTTGCATTCAAGCTTGATCCCAAGTGTTACCCCTGAAATGGTCTACCAATATGAATTACATAATGCTGCCTTAAAAAAAATTATCTTCTGGGTGTTTTGGCTCATGCGATTACAAGTTACCTGTACATGATGGTGGGTTACTCAAGGGCAAAGGTTACTTGGCTCTTGCTTAAATCTTTGACTGCTTCACTACTATACTTAATAATACTAAATAACTTTGTGCACACAGTATTAAAGGGAAAATACAACATTTACAAACATTTACAAACTAAGAAAGAGAAAAAAGTGTGTCAAAATGCAAGGTACCGGTATCATCATTCACCCATTTTCAAATTACACGAGTATAAGTTTTATGTAAGCTCAAAATTCTACAGTCCATCATTTGCAGCTATCCAAAAAGTAATTAAATTGTTGAAAAACATACTTGGTTGAAAGTTGAAAGGGGACTAAACTCCCTGTGAAATTATTCTTTCTGGCAAGCTGTCATTTTGAAGAAATCAAGGAAAGAAGGCCTTTCCAACGGTGCGTCTTAATTTCCATCCTTAGTTCATTTTTTTATTCGGTGAAGCGCACACAAGCGTTGACACGATGCACATGCGCGCGGTTGCTATATTTCGCCACATCGGTGTGCGACATCGCATAGCTGCAATCGGCTCAGTGAGAACGTGTCTCGGGCACTGAATTCAGGCCCAATTCAAAACATGATTCAACAACTTTTGATTTGAAATTGAGATCCTAGAATGTTGTTTTTCTCGAAATGTACAGCTGAAGCTGAGCTGAAACTTCATCAGGTTAGTTGTTTAGCACCCTTCTTTAGATGTTGAGCATTTTGGTTGCTTTGAAAGATCAAAATGCACAAATTACAAATGATGGACTATGGGCTCCGTGCGCCAACGAAAGAGGGCGCCCTTTTACCTAGCAACGACGTCCCATGGGCGGGACATTCAGCTGGTTGAAGTGCACCTTTCCTTGTGTGTGACGAACGTACACCAGGGGATCGCAGTGGTACGGCCACGCGCCGCGGCAAAATTGCAGTCAGGCAAGATGGCGTCGGTCGGTCACCCCCAACTGTTCTCACTTTGCCGGTGAGGGGGTACTTGTGAACGGAGCAGATACCTTTAACCTGTGTACAAATGTACATGGGACTAGCTCGATCAGGGTCCAAACTGTATACAGTATAGGTTCTACATATCACACTGTTCACAAGCTATAACTATTCAATATTTCATTCTGATGATTCCAACAGTGAAACACTTTTGTTTGGATTGATAACGTAGTATTTACTGCATAATTCTGAATGGGTCTTTAGTTCTACCTGTGGGGTAAGTGAACCTGGCCTAGTTTTCACAGTACTATTAAGTATGTCAGAGCTGTGTCCAGACCATGTGTAGGAATAGTACAATGTACAAATGACTGATGCAGCAGGGTACGTACCCTGTACAGGGTTCTCCCCAGGTTTTTTTCAAACCTGTGGGGGAAGTTTTGTTGTGATTCACCAACCTGCGAAGCCAGGGCATGGAGTTCGGGGCCCGCTTAAGGGCCCCAGAAAATTTTAAACTTTAGAGGCTCTCTGGTGCATTTTAGAGCAAATCTGGGGAGTCTTTAAGGAAGATTTTTCCTTAAAATTTAGAGGTGACTGTACGGTGTGTGCACTAGTTTTGTGTGCCTTAAAAATACATCGGGCTGCATTTGGCACTGTGGCCATAAACATGATTCTGTTTCGGGACCCTTTTGGCGCTTCGGTTACACTGAAATGACGTCATTGTTCCACCAAAGCTGAACCGAGACTCGCGATTGGTTCACTAACGTTTCAAGATGGCGGAAAGGTCAACAAGTTTTATCAGACGACGTTACTTTGTGTCCCTGGGCGAGTTAGCCCCGGGGATCTATGTTCAAGTGTGAAAAGGCCTTAATTGTGGTTAACAGATTGTGTATTTCTTACATCCTTCTCCACCTACCTTGGGATACATTATGATTATGGTTAAATTAAGGGATTAACTAACATGAACAACAAATAAAGTGTTGTTGAAAAGATGATCTGGAAAAGCCATCAAGTTCATGAACAGTCTCCACAAAAAGGAGTTGTTCAAATATTGGAAGTTGAAAGCCTACCTGGATGTAATTTGCCACAGTGTAATTGCATTTGCAGCCACCTTACACTTGTGCCACCATTTACTAGAACAGGTTAAGGCCAAATACAAAGTCATAAATCCTGAGACTCCCAGTTTAAAAACTGTACTTGGCACCTTTTGGCAGCTGCCCAACTGCTGACAAAACCACACAGAAGTACTTCTAGTAGTTCAACAACATTTTTGAACTGTTCAAGGTCATGGTTTTCAGTAGTGGAAATGTGGAGTTTTGAGATATGTGATGTTCAATGTCATCCTTAATTTTGTCACCATTTGGTTTTTCCATTACATGCAGTTAGTGGGAAGTAAAGGTCATTGACTGCTTCCCATTATTATTAAAACCTGGCAATGAAAAAAAAGTTCTGTCTGAGAGGAAATGATCAATAATGCATAGAAGTGAGCTTTTTCTTTTTGTTCGTTGTACATGGATCTACATGTATAGGCCTATTAAAGGTATACAACATTTGCTTTTGCTGTAATTTTCAGAAATCGATGGATTTGGAGGTTAGCATTTTATAGCAAGTATTGTTACACTAACCTGTTAAAAGTTTTGTGTTCTAAGAAGCGAGAAAAAGATGTAGTCTGGTTACCTGACCCTACTTCAGACGAAACGGAGCAATTTACAGATGTTGGGGAAGTGTCAGTTCAGGGAACCAGACTTAGCTGGCTTGCACCCACCCGTTCATGGATGTGTAATCGCTTGCAAACAGAATGTGGACTAACTAAATTTTGAAAATTGGGGGCAGTATTTGAAGAAAGTCAGGTTTTTTTCAAATGATGGTCGGACAACCATCGTTGGAACTTGACACAAGAAATCCCCTTTTTTTGAAAATGACAGCACACCGGGTGCCAACTTCACAGTTTTTCGCTTAAATTTGGTAGTTTTGTTTTTTGATGTTTGCAAATATTGTATTACCTTAAGTTAAGTACAATGTATTACATGTCATGTGAAGTACCGTAATTTGAGAATAGAGTGACTTTATTAGCATTGAATTTCCCAGCTTTTTCTTGAATTGAATTGAAATTGAACTGAAGCACTTTATCGATCCATCAACGAAAATTACATTTGCTCACCCGTAAAAAAAATATAAATATTTACAAATTTCACAAAAACCCTAAAAATTACAAAGCTCTCACAAAAATACAATTTTGTGTCACAAAAATACAATCTTGCAATTTTGCTTACAGTTACTGAGCATATTCATTCATCACATTCACGCCGTTAGTCAGCAATTTTGTTGTCAAAGATTACCACACGGGGGTTGAGTTCAAGACCTTTTGAAGTCTTTCAGGGGGGCAGACAATTTATTGGGAATGCCAAAACTTTTGTGCTATAATCTTTTGTGCAGTGCATACCGCATGCACTGATTCTTCATGGCTGGTTGGTCGCTTTGAAAACGGATAATGCCTACGTGCAAGAGAGGGCATCTACTGGATGTCATAAACCTGTTTTCATGATGACACCATATATTACTATTGCAGTATATCTTTCTTGTTAAATCTTCAGTCAGAGTTTAGAAGTTCAGAAACGAATGAGTTTAGTTACTTGTACAGAAACAAGTGTCATGTCTGCTTCGCAACCAACCGACTGGATACAATTATTACTTGCAAGAAAGGCTTGTTAAAGGAATCACAACGGAAAATACAATTTAAAAAGTAACAAAAAGCAACCAAATTCAATTGAAAGAAAACAACAATTATCTTTTTTTAAGGGTTTTAAATAATGAAAATGCAATGTATTTAAATTCGTCCTATGAATGAAACCAATTGTTAGCCCCAATCCTTCATAAACGCTAACCTTCCCAATTCATCCAAACTCCTCTTTGCAAAATGGAGGATTTTGCAGGATTGAGGCTATATGGCAAAACTTTGTTGTGTCAAGGTCTTGGGCCGGACCTTGTGTTGTTGATGCTCAGCCGTGCGTAAAGTTAGGACTATATTATTCTTGAAATCCTCCGCACTGCTCCAGGATGTCTCTGCCTCAGCATATTGACAGTGACTGCTGTAAGATTTTGCAGGATTGAGGCAGTGGTCTTCTTTCCAAGGACCACATTCAAGAAATAACAGATGATTTTGGAGGATTGAGGCTGTATGCAATTTTTACATGGAGGCAGTTGGAGGATTTTGCAAGATTGAGATTGCATCCTAAAGTTAATTCTAGAGTTAAAGCATGCTAGAGTTAAAGTTAATTAACATATTGTAAGACATACATGAATGTAGCAATATAAAATAATTGAGTTCCTCCCCCGGTCATGAACATGTAACTAAGGAAAAAGTATTGATTAATTATTGAATGGAAGTTTTTGGTCAACTTTTGCAGTGCAGAGCATTTGGTACAAAGTTAATTTCTGTATGTCATGTTATAATTTTTTTCTTCGTGTTTTTGTATCTAAACAGCACTCAAGATGAAAGCAGCGTCAGCCAGCCAGTCTCATCCTATGCACGCTCAGGGGGGTGGGGATGCCGACTGCAAACCTGCGACAAACGGATTGGACAATGGTCTCCATGACGACGCCAGCCTACCCAACGGGAGCACAGAGTTGCCGAAGGCCGAAAATGGACACGGTGGGCCAAACTCCAGCGCCAATGACACTCATTCAGATACGGACAGAAACAGCCCAGTCCTAAATGGGCACGCTGAAGATGTATCATCGGAGGATTCAGACAGTAAAAAAGATGCGGTTGCGACCAACTCTGAAGACCTTCCTTCCGATGATGCAGTCGACGATGTGGACGGAGACAAAGCAATAAGAACAGAATCAGAGGGGAGTGAAACAAAGAAAGACTCCAAAGTTGAAGACGTGATTGTGATACAGGACACTGCGTTCACTCTGAAACTAGTACCGCCAGGATGCGAGTCTTTTGAATTACAGGTTTGTATAGTCAGGTCTTATATCGGAGCCGTTTTTTACTTTCTCAAAAAATGTCTTTGGACTAAATCCATTGACCGCAATAGACCTTATGCGTTGCTGTTTTTTTTTTTTTTTTAAGGAATTAGCAATAATACACAAAAAGGTTTCCTCATGCCTATCACAGCGATACTTAACCCTACCCCACCTCAATCCTCCAAAATAATCCTGGCCGTTTCGGAGGATTGAGGATGAATGGTGTTTGAGAAACATAAGGATGTTGGAGGATTGAGGATGAAGAGTGTTTGAAGAGGAGGAAGATTTTTTTGAGGATTGAGGATGAATGCATTTTGAGAGGCAGGACTGTCTGACGATTTTGAAGTCCGGCGCTGGGTATCCTGAAAATAAGAGCAACATTTTGGAGGATTGAGGATGGTTCCTAGCAAAAAGGGCCTAGAGGGTTACAGGTTACAGGTAGGTTTACCAGTTGCCCTCTGACTCCGCCTTAACGCTTAACGTCTATTGGAAACCATTACTGAAGAGGCACCAAAGGCCAAACTTGCAAGTTGCATGCGTTTTGTGCGTGCTCATACATTTTAGGTGTGAATGCTTTTTGGAAGTGACCAGTGTGCAAGCATAGTGCCCACGCTCATCAACTCTTTAGTCACAGTAGCGCCCAAAAACGCCCTGCCTATTGCCATTACTCACTGTAGCGTCCGAAACTGCCCAAGGACGCTATGGTTTTATTGATTTTTCAGTGAATCAATACAATGTATAGAACAATGAAGTCTAGGTGCCAGTGCGATAATGGCTTCTTCTGTTTAGATAATAAATGAAATCATTTGGACGTTTTAAGCAGTGTGTGGCCACATCAAGATTAGCGGAAGATTATGCAGCATTTACTGGTGCTGCTAAAGACAAACACAAATACAGTGTATGTACATACACTGGACACTGCAGCCCGCTCAGATTTATTGAACACATTTGCATCAGGATACATGTGAGGCGTACTGGCCAAATGAGAAAACTCTATAGACACAGGCCATAGTAGGAAAAAAAATCACCAAAAAAAAAAAAAAAAAACCAATGGGGATAATTTTTGTCCATTTTCAGATTTATTGGTTCTTGTTATTTTTGATACATGTACCGGTGTGTCTACTACCGGTACAAACATATTTTTAAGAAAAAGTATAAAAATTGTTGAATAAAAGTGTTTGTAAGGGAAAAGAATTGGCATTTTTTTTAATGTTCACGACTACAAAACTTTCAAGGCCATTTTCTCAGTAATTTACTTTTTTGACACGTCGAGACATGCAAACTTTTAAACAGCCATAATTCGTCAATGTAAATATCCGATTGAAGTGCAACAAACAGTATTGTAAGGAGAATTTTGTTCTCTTTTGCTAATACCCACAAACCCACATTTCGACCTCTACCCAGTTCTGTCTCATTTGCCAGAACGCCTAACATATTCACTTTACATACATGTATACCGGTGCATGTAATATTACGTACACTACAGCTTGTTGTGTACGTGTACCGATGTATGTAAGTTTTGCTGTTTATTAATTGCTTTATCATTGATTTTTTTGTCCATTTTGGTATCTTTTTCAACACCTGCCAAGCCGCTTGATTTTAATCAGTATTATTTGGCTGTTTGGGAACGGACATCTTTTGTATTTAAAACAAATTTTGGGACATTTAATGTACACAATGTACATTTGGGTTTGCAAATTGTTACATGGGAGCAGTTGGCTGTCTTTTATATTTATGATCTTCGCTGCTAGTGCTACAGTATTTGAAAAAGGGCAATCCTTAAATATCGGAGTATGAAAAGAATGTTAACTGGGGTTTATTATCAGATTTTGTCAGCCCATAAATAAAACATCAGTTCATTGATTATTCAACAAAGATGACATTTGCATTTCTGAAAAGTACCAGTAAAATTTTGAAACGCATTTGCTGGTACAAGGAGGAACAAAATGTAATGTACCGCACGGGCATCTATATTGCGGTGCATATAGCGGTAGTTCAAGAACACATGTACACAATTTGTCTCCTCAGTACAGGGTGCCAGTAAGTTATCATGATGCTAGTCAGCATTTGTCTGATGGTTGTTACACTTCCCATTTCTGAAACACCTCAAAAACCACAAAACCTCAAAAAACAATAAATTGTTTTATTTTCAATGAAAACTTATTTTCAGTCCAAGCCGGCAAAAAAACTTACTCTTCCATTCATTCGTATAAACATGAATAAAAATTTATCAAAAACAAGAACTACTCCAATGTGTACATGTAGGTACATTGTACATGTAGAATAAGTTTTGAGTTGTTCAATCGATTGTAAAAATGTCAGTACCGCCGTTTTCATACAATATACGGTGTATGCCAGCAATTTTCATACATTTACTGCACTACTGAATCATGCTTTGTGGCTTGCCACGTGGTCTTTTCTAACCAGCTGTAGTGCAACAGCTGATTCTGCCTCACACAGTGATCTACTAGAAAGCCCCTATGCACACAGGAACAGTTTGATCAGCCCACACGGTCCAGCCTACAGTTCAAACATGTGGCCTGCTATATTCAGACTTGTGAACTATTTTTGCCCTGTGTACCTTCATGTGCTGTACTATTCCACTGACTAGTTTCAAAACCCCTAGATGAATGAATCACTCCCCGAACGGGAAACCGGTGGATTCCCCGGTGACCATTATTCATAGCTGTGCCCTAAAAAAAAGGGGATTCCTGTATAGTAGTAGAGGCGTGGAGCCTATTTCGGAACACTGAAATTTGCTAAATGCAAACAAGGCTGCAAAAGAAGGTCACCGACTCAAAAAGCATTGGATTTTGGTTGTGACTGATTGCCAGCAGATTCTTGCTAAGCATTAATATGTGCTAAGCAATCTTTTCTACTATTCTTCTCAATGAAATGAACCCTGGACATTCAGAGGTCACCGTTTATAAGTTTTCTAGGGTTTATTTTTTTTTATTAAGAGCTCGTTTCTAATTTTGGAGAAATTTGACCCATATTTTTGTTAGCACTTGGCAGGGGATATAATTTTTTTAATCCTTGAAAGCGCTTGACTGCGTTACTACAGTAGGCCCATAAATCTATGAATTTAATTTGTTTGTGATGAATAGGGGGGATAAAAAGTTGGTGACAAGAGTGAGTGATTTACAGGTTGGTTAGTTGGGAGGGGGGATGTTCGGGGTAATTGGTTCCCTGCTAATTCTTGCTAAGCATTAATATGTCATGAGCAATCTTTTCTACTACATTTTTTACTCTCAATGAAATAACCGTTTATAAGTTTTCTGGGGTTTTTTTTCTGAAGAGGTTTCTACTTTGACCCATTTTTGGTTAGTAGTACTTGGCAGAGGTATAATTTTTAAATCCTTGAAAGCACTTGACTGCATAACTGAGTGATTTACAGTAGGTGCATAAGTTAGTACATGAATTAAATTTTTGTGATGAATTAGGGAATAAAAAGTTGGTGACTTGGATGAGTGAGTGATTTACAGGTTGGTTAGTTGGGGGGGGGGGGGGTCACGTAATGGTTATTGGAGTGGCCCTTTCCATTATCAACTTTTAGTCAGTAGTGTAACATTGGAAGCTTTTTGCGCTTGTCACAATTCATCCAAACGGGTGTATAAACCATTTTTAGCCAGAAAGCCTCGGTTTAACTCCAAAGGACCATCTGTGGGCCTGTGGTTTTCCATGAAAACCACGTGCAGCTTCATTGTCATGAAGTATAGGCCAGATTGATACCATAGACCGACCACAATGTCATATCCGGCGTAAACCACTTACATACAAATCGTCTGTCACAGTTCACAGGGAGGGCTATTCTAGTGTGTTAAATTTATTCAAAATACTATTTACATGTAGCAAAATGAAATAATATTTTGCACAGTTTTACAACATGTTTTTATACAAACTGTCCAATCTTTAGGCAAGGTTTTCTCAATAATTTTGTGGTTCCATTTTGTGGGTTGCACTCTACCCAGTCGTTCAGAATTCTGTGCAAAGTTTGTGGATTCCAAGTGAACTTTGCCAAATATATTTTTTAAACTTAACCACATGTATGACGTTTTACAAACAATGGTTGGCCATTTTGAACTTCCACTTCACATACATGTGATTTAATGAAGCGAAGCAGTGTGTTTAACACTGATCTGAAACAGAATGAGAATAACAGCAATTAAAAACAAAATGGAAGGTTTGAATTGCAAAATGATTTCTCTTTTATTTGAATCAGACAGAGTCTCCCTTGGGAAAGATTCGCAACCTACTTTCTGAGTTTAGAAACCTGTCCTGAATTTAGAAATCTGTCCTCCTAAATTTAGAAATCTTTCGTCTCGCGGTTGAAACCTTAAATCACAGGAAGTCCTTACTTAACTGCCCATATCGACTCACGCTGTTTGCCAAGTGCCCAAAAAAGATGACTGCATTGTCACACGCTTCTAAATTTGTTCTTAAAGAAGAAAAATAGGAACAGATAACATCAGGTTTTGCTGTGGTTTTGTCTAATAGTGGAAGAGCAAAATCCAATAATAAGGTTTTGCTGGTTATCAGCCAGACACACTTACACATTATGATTGTTGTCAATTAAAGGGATGGGTATCGGTTAAAATTAGGGGGGAAAATTAGGAGGCCAGGGTGCAGTGTTGAAGTTGAATCATCTTTCAGCTGTGGTAAATAATCTAATTACATTGTGAGGTAACACACAAGACAAGGATCAGGCTATCTGCAGATCTGTCTGGGATGTTGGAATGGGTCCGCCAAATGGGGAAAAAAATGAATATTAAGAATGAAGATATCGGTATCTCAAGTGAACAGAGTTTACCACAATGGCCTTGGGAGTAATGAAATTACATTATTTGTAGGAACTTTAAAGGGAAAATACAACATTTGCAAACATCAAAAAATAAAACTACCAAATCATTTTGAAATACCTTGCTGGACTGTTAGTGAATGACAGTGTAAAGCATCCTGTAAAATCATGGCACCTGGTATACTGTCATTTTCAAGAAAAGTGGTATTTTTGTATCAATTTCCAACGCTGGTCGGCTGACCAGCGTTGGAAAAAAACTGGCTTTTTTTTCAAATACTGGCCCCAATTGACCATCGCACTTGTTTGCAATCGATTACACACCTATGAACGGGTACAAGCCAGCTTGACTGGTTCCCTGACCTTACAATTCCCCAATGTATGTAAACTGCTCTGTTTCTTCTTATATGGAGTCAGGGAACCAGACTACAGGAAAATGCTTGTTTTTCTTGGTTTTTATAGTATTTTTGAACCCAAAACCTCAAAAAGTCAGTGTAACTATATTTGCTATATATTTCCAACCCCCAATTCCATCCATGTCTGAAAATTACAGCAAAAGCAAATGATGTATATTCCCTTTAAGGTGAATGTAATGTGTCCGACCCATACAGTATGTAGAACTAGAAGCCATGATGGGTTCTAGTTAGTATGAAAGGGGTTCCTGAAATCTCCAAGTTGGACCCCAGGTCCTTCTGAGATTAATGTTGAAGAACCTTTGAAAAAAATTGAGTTTTTGCAACCTCAGTCTTATAACTTGAGTCTTGAGCTAGACAATGTAATGTACAATGTATATTATTCTAGTAATGAATGTTAATGAGTCCAACGACAGAATAATTTCACATGTTGATGGATGGAATGATCCATTCCACGAGCAGAAGCCAATTGGAATGGAACACTCCATCCGTCACCAAACTCAATTATTTTGTCCATTGCACAAATGTGAAACTTTCGTTATTTGTTTTATACAATGCCTTAATAAATCCTTGTCATCTGATTGGTAGTAATATTGTGACTGATGCAGTGGAACTTCTACGATATTACCGTGGATTGGAACTTCTATAATTGCAGTGTGGCCGGTTCGTGGGTTGGGACGAATATTTGAATGACACGTGATCAATGACCACCAGTCAGATGACAGGGATTTTATAAATTCAGGCGTTGTGTAATACTTAATGTGCCCAAAGCAGACCATAGTTATATTGAGCCAGAGTTCCCGAAGCTAGGACCCTGAAATCCCCCAAAGCTAAAAACCATAGACAAAACTGAAGTTTTAAAAAGCCTCATTGTGTTGGTGAATTAAGTATGTTTTGGTAATGGTATTGTAGCTTTACACGTACATAATTTTTTTGGTGTGCTGTCTTAGAATTGGGACATCAAATTCTGACCAAATGTGCATCTGGGCAATTCCACAGTTACTCACGTTACATTTTTGATGTACTTTTGAGTTTCCTTGGGCTGTAATTACCTTACTAAAAAGGTTTAATAACTGTTATCCCCATGGTAGATAGAGTAGACCTAGACCTACCTATATACATGTAAGCACCAAAGATGACATCCAGAAAAATGTGTTATGTATGATAAATAAGACGCACAAAATTGGTTACTCACGTTACCTTTTCATAACTCGAGTAACCGATTTTGTGCGTCTTGTTTATCATACATAACACATTTTTCTGGATGTCATCTTTGGTGCTTAGGTACCGTAGGTCTGGGTCTACTCTATCTACCCTGGGGATAACAGTTATTAAACCTTTTCAGTAAGGTGATTACAGCCCAAGGAAACTCAAAAGTACATCCAAAATGTAACGTGAGTAACCGAGGAATTGCCCATCTGCGTATTTCTCAGCAATTTTGCATTTGTTGCATTTGAATTTTACCAATATTGCATGTACCAGTAAAACTGCCCTAATTCTCTGAAATAGTGAAAAGAGCTCTACGTACATACATGTACACGTATGTACGGTACATGTTGTTATTCAAGAAACCTTCAACGTACTCTCCTTATATCATCATCATGAGTTTCGTTACACAACTTGATAAGTGTCCAAGGTGGAATGTATTACAACACACACTCACTTTCATTGAGTGGCCTACATGTGTATGCTTGGCTGGGTTTAATGAAACGGCTGATACCTACAGACACAATCTACAGACTCAGTAGTATTGATTTATGTAGTGCTGTACACCTCAGCTCATTGATTGCATGTTAAGGAATTTGCTGCTTCAAATGGGTTAATTTCATTGACCTGTTCAGCTCGAAGAATAGGAGTGCAGAGAAGAAAACAGGAAAATTAATTACTAATGATGATTATATAGGCCCTACATGTACCACCCCTAATCTGTGTGTGGTCTTATGGATGCATCAGGTCAAAAAATGCAATTCAATTTCTTATTGGTTAAATTTTTTTTTAGTTTATCCAGTTATTTTTGTAGTAATTGTGGAGTGCTGTAGCTTCATGGTGTGATACATTGAACTCAAGATCTTGTGGCTAATTCTGCAGGTTGTGGGTTCGAGTCCAGCCTGGGTTGTGGTGGCTGTGTCTTTAGGCTAGACATCAGCCCTCATTGCTTCTCCCAGCCCAGGATTAAAGAGGTTGTGGAATGCTCGAAGACATTTCTGTAATTTTTCGGGTATATGTAGCCTAAGGTGTGATGAAATAAAAACGACTACATGTATTGTGTCTGTCATGAAATGAGTACAAAAGGTACTTTTTGAGAGCTGTTTTTCAGGCCCTGTTTCAACCCGAACGTGCAATTCGTGTAAAAGTCGTCGTTGGGGGCAGCAAACAAAACATAGTAAATCGTAACGTAATAAACAGGACTCGTTTATACTACGCTGCATCGGGAGTCCTGTTTATTACGTCACGATTTACTATGTTTTGTTTGCTGCCCCCAACAACGATTTGTACACAAATTGCACGTTCAGGTCAAAACAGGACCTGAAAAACAGCTCTCAAAAGTACCTTTTTTACTCATTTCATGACAGACACAATAGTCGTTTTTCTTTCATCACACCTTAGGCTACATATACCTGAAAAATGACGGAAATGTCTTCGAGCATTCCACAACCTCTTTAAATGGATACATGTACAAATGTGCATGTGTAAGGGCAAATGTGGTACCTTACATGTGTACATGTTTGATATATCCATTTGGACCTACATGTACATGTGTATTGTACATGTAGCATTGAGCTGGGAGATGAGATGGTCTTTATAGAGTGTCCTAGCTCATTGGCATGACAAGCAGTGGTAATAATAAAGTAGTATCACACTGTGAGCACCTAGTATACATTGCACAGTGTAATTATTTGAATGGGGCTGTGTCGAACGTACCAAATGTTCGAATATGCGATCGTCAACTGAAATCAGAATATTGATTCAAATATTCAACAAATGTGAGTGGTCTTGAGGAGATTATGGAAAACATATCTTAAGTTGTGTGATTTTATTGTTTGTCAAATGCCACTATTTTGTTGAAAGCCACTTCCGTGCATGATCTGAGAGCTTCCAAGAAAAAAGCTGACTCTACATGTACCTGTTCTTTATATTATTTTCAAAAGCTTCGTGTCAATTTTTGGACAAGCACAGGTGCAAGCAAATCCCAATCGGAGGCCAGTTTAGACTGTCACTTGTTTGCGTATTGTCTATTTATAAAGTGCACGTATGTGTACATGTATACCTGTATCCCCCACCATTGGTGCTCAAGGCACTACTTCACTGCTATTCTGCTCATTGGGCCAACAAAACACTCCAAAGACAATCTCAGCTCGATGCTGCCATTTCCGTGCAAAGCAGCTAAAATAATCCGCACTAACAATCACTGCCCTCACAGGTACCCATTTACTCCTGGGTGGAGAGAAGCAATGAGTGACAAAGTGCCTTGACCAAGGGCACACGCACCAAAGCCGCAGGCTGGACTCGAACCCACAACCTGCAGAATTACCTGCAGACCACAAATTCAATGCTCCAGACCGCGAGGCCACGGTGTAACTTGATCAGTGTATTTTGAAAACAGTACATATTCGATCAAGCCCAAGGTGGAATAATCAAATACTAAGTTATTCAAAAATGCATCTATAGCCATTATGCTACTTCCAAATTTCTTGATCATTATGCGATTTCAAATTTATTGAGCTCATCCTCTCAATTTTTCTGACAATCCCGTTTTTTTCCTTCTAGGTAAGCCCCCAGGAGATGGTGCAAGAGATCCACCAGGTCCTGATGGACCGGGAGGACACCTGCCATCGCACCTGCTTCTCCCTGCAGCTAGACGGCAACGTCCTGGACAACTTTGCCGAACTGAAGAGCGTCGAGGGGCTGAAGGAAGGCTCCGTCGTCAAGGTTGTGGAAGGTGAGAAAGAATCTGATTTCAATTTCTAAAATCCGATTAAAAAAAATTATAATCATGATTTCTAACAACCCTGGTTTCACTTCATTTTTTTTTACAGAGCCCTACACAGTAAGAGAAGCCAGGATCCACGTCCGGCATGTCAGGGACCTGCTGAAGTCACTGGATCCCTCCGACGCTTACAATGGTGTCGATTGCCAGTCTCTCTCCTTCCTAACTACCGTGCTTAACGATGGTAAGCAGAAACGGCTGAGCATACAGTCATAAAGTTCATAAAGGGTTTAAGAAGAAAAGTTGCTTAGCGGGTTTATGACATTCTTAACAGTACAATTAAAAAGTTACAACGATATGAAAAAAAAAGTATATGACGTTTTCCCTGGAAACCTGTTTTGGGAAAAAATATTTGTTTCCTGTGATGACTTAGAAACAATGCTTAAGTCGGCAGCTTCAGGAAATTGACACTCATTCTTACATCTTTGAATATTTTTTTATTTGATAATTAATTTTAATTAGTGACATTTGCACTACGTATTTAGCTTCTTTAGTGTGGTCTTGGTGTCTCATTGATGTCATTCATTGTGGACAGTCAACGCCTGTAAGCTCATTGGATAAGTGATGAGACATCTGCAAAAGAGTAAAACCCAACATTAAAACTAAATACCTGGGTGTGATTTTTAGTTAAGCTCATCAAATTGGTTGAATGATGGACAGACGCATGTAGTAAAATATTCAATTGCCTTATGGTATGTAAAAGATTTATTTAGGCTTCCTTTTTGCTCTACATGTATGTAGAAGAAAGTCATTTTGTGAATTCCTTGAAAAAGATCTTGGTGAAAGGTCAACAAAGTAATAGCGTCTTTTGTGAGTTTAACTTCCTTAAAGGGAATATATATCATTTGCTTTTGCTGTAATTTTCAGAAATGGATGGAATTGGGGGGTTAGAAATATACAGCAAATATAGTTACACTGACTTTTTGGAGGTTTTGGGTTCGAAAATGCTATAAAAACCAAGAAAAACGATCATTTTCCTGTAGTCTGGTTCCCTGACTCCATATAAGAAGAAACAGAGCAGTTTACATACATTTGGGAATTGTAAGGTCAGGGAACCAGTCTAGCTGGCTCGTAACCGTTCATAGGTTTGTAATCGATTGCAAACAAGTGCAATGGTCAATTGGGGCCAGTATTTGAAAAAAAAGCCAGTTGTTTCCAACGCTGATCGGCCGATCAGCGTTGGAAATTGATACAAAAATACCTCTTTTCTTGAAAATGACAGTATACCAGGTGCCATAATTTTACAGGATGCTTTAGACTGTCATTTACCAACATCCTGTTAAGGTATTTCGCAAAAACTTGGTAGTTTTATTTTTCGATGTTTGCCAATGTTGTATATTCCCTTTAATACCATATTTCTATGCTTATAGAACGCAAGCGCAACAAGTCTTCAGATTCGGTGGACTGCACCCCGCCCGAGTACCTCATGCCCCTGAGCAAAGAGCGCCCTCTATCCAACATGCAGCCAGTCCACAAGGAGAGTCGTAGCCCGACGTGCCTGAAGGTGCTGACGGTGTCGGGCTGGAACCCGCCGCCGGGTACCAGGAAGATGCACGGTAAGCGTACACATTTCTCGTTAGTTGTATATTTTCTTGCTAAGCAAGAAGCAGCCGTGGACCAGTCGCAGGCAAATCGCATCCCATTATATTTTGGCTGGTATCCCGATTTTGCTAAACAGATACATTCCAAGCTTAGTGCCCAATTTCATGGGGCTGCTGGGCAGAAAGATGCTGCTTATCAAATTGATGTGCTAAGCACGTAAACAGCTGGGAACCAGTCAAGCAGTGTATGTGGCATGGTATATTTAGCTGGTGTCCAGTTCTTGCTAAGTAAACCTATCTGTGCTAAGTACATACTTAACATAGTGGTGGGAGAAATTGGAGATTTCAAAATCCGGTTATCCTATATTTTTTTTCAATTTGAGTAACGGTCATCCGATTTCACAAGATATTAGCTCCCATTATTATTATTTATTATTATTATTTATTTCTTATTTTAACTGGTTAGCCCATTCAGTGGAATCCACTTACATGTATCTCCCATGGGTCCCAGTAAAGAGAAGACAATGCATGAACCAAGAAGATTGCTAACGGCTGAATGCAGTTACAATCAGAGACCATGAAGCAAATTGGGGGATGCTCCAGAGTTGTGTTCTTTAGCTTGTGTCACAAAACGGTAGATTCGAATGTCCAAAATCCAAACCGAAGAGCGGACTTAAAACTGAATTTTAAAACTCTGGATATTAATGACACCGCTAGCTTAGCATCTCCAAATATGCCCCCAGATGAAAAGCTAACCTTGCAAAAACCTTCCCAATCCATCAGGAGGTTTTGAAAGATTCTTCAGGATTTAGGAAGGTACAGTGTACGATCCTGTCACTCTGGGCAATTCCAAGGTAATGGAATGCCATCAATTAAGTCTCCTCCTGCAACTTAAGTACCGTTTTTCACAAGATCAAAACAATGATTCTGTGCTTTTACTTTAATTACCGCCACTTTTATTTTTCACTTTCATTTTTTGAAAAATTTATTTTGGCCTGAGCCAAAGGCGAGGAACATTATCCGCGACAGGCCACTGCGTACCGTACTTGTTTAAAACAGGCCAAGCATTACAAAAGTAGATTGCAAATGGGTTATTAAGTACAATGTCAAGCATACTGCCTGCAGACTATGCAGGTCTATGTGACTCTAATTCCATTTCCTCTGCATAAATTAGTCCTATGCTAAGAGCATCCTTAGTTTGTTCTCGCAAGATACCACATTGATAACACATGACAGATTTACCATTTTGCTTTCAAGCAAAACAGGAAATTCATTTAATAACCAACTTTTGTCAGTTCAAGTTTTTAAACCAGTGACCTTGCACAGTGTGTGTTTGTATGGAATGTTATAACAATTGTTGGACAGCTGTGATGTTGGATATGGTGTTTTTAACGCGAAGGGCGCATAGCACCTGAAGCTAATTCGAGGCTGATAGAATGTGTGCGCCCCGAGGCTTTAAAAAAACATATCCCACATCATAGCAGTCAACAAACGTTCTGTTATATTGTGCCAATAAGTCAAAAAGATAAAAGCTTTGAACTTACTATGCAAGAAGTAAGGTGTAACTTTTCCGCAAGCTTTCCTGCTGACATGAGACTGAGCATTTGCAGTTTTCAGCCTAAAAGAATTAACAGCTCAATAAAAAATTAACCAAACAGAAATGTTGAAATCAAACTTGAAATTATTTAAATAAAAAAATAAGACACTAGCTGAGGCGGAAACCCCTTTTGTAATTGTAGCAGTTTTTAGAAAAAAACTGTTTGAGAAAAAGAATGGTGTCACGTTCGTATTCCAATACCTGCATGCCAAGATCATTCCGCAAGGCTTGGGCCTGCCAACCCACTCGCACTAATTCCAATTAAAAGATAGACACTCGGTGGTATTTAAGAAATGCTCAGGGCCGCGTAACGGCATGCGTGGGCCATGGTTGGAAGTCCAAGCTGGGAATTAGGACAGAGAAAAAAACAAAAACAAAATGGATGGTCAGAGAATTAGGACTGCAAAACAAACATGCTTAAACGGTGCGGTAATTGTGTGAACGAGGTATTGAAAGATGCACGCATGATGGGAGATTGTGGGACCGTTTTATACTCCATTGGTGCTATTGAGAGCTCATTTTAAAGCTACAGTCCATCATTTGTAGCTATCCAAAAAGTAACTGACATAATTATTGTTGAAAAACATACTTCATGTACTTGGTTGAAAGATAGTATGGGACTAAATTCCCTGTGAAATTATTCTTTCTGGCAAGCTGTCATTTTGAAGAAATCAACGAAAGAAGGCCTTTCCAACGGTGTGTCTTAAGATGCACTGTTGGAAATTTTTCATTGCAAAGAGCAGGGTGAGATTTTCAAGGATTTTTAATGATTGCACGTTTTTTTTGTCAGGACTTGTCCTGATTTTCAGGACTTTTTTGGACAATATTTTTCCAGTGCTCTGGAAATAGAAGTTACTCAAGTCAGTTTCTTGGTTGTATTTAATTATTAACAAATATATTTTATCACATGTTATAATTTTTGTTATATGCGTGTATATCTGCATTCAAACTAAATACATCCACCATGCACATGTATACATACATGTACATGTGCATTATGTTTTAAAAACATTTTACTGTTTACTATTATAATTGTTTGTTTAATGGCAAAAGCAAAAACCAAAGAGTGTTTTGTATATAGTTGAAATGATACATCAATGCAATATCCATCACGTTAGAGTAACATTTTACTCGAATAGGCCTACCGGTATGTAGTAATTTACCAGTAAGCAAAACTAGTCAGTTTCTCTTCATGGTATAATTAATTATTTTCTTTGCATCAGATGAAGTACCGGTACGGGAGCTGTAGCTACGAAAAGCTTATGCCATAATTTTAATTGAAGTTAGTCATTAAAGTGTTACCTTATTTATATTTAAATTATAACTGTATCTAGCAGATAACATCTTTGATTAAAAAAAGAATATATAAATAGTTACATGGACCAATTAAAATAATTGCTTGCATCAAATTTATATGCTGTATATTTTGCTCTTTATAAAAACACTTCACCGTAACAGATCAATTTTATTTTGATCAAGAAAACTAAGAGCAGGAGTGACATTCAAGTCGTTTATCATGCATGATGCATCACTACGATATCCATTACTTCACATGGGTTTTCAATGGTAAAGGGGCAAGCTATTAACGCCTTGGAACTGTGAGTGACGATTTTGTGCGTGCCACGGCCACCCAGCCCCGTGCAGAAATGGACCGGACGTACTGGACGGCGATTCCGACATTGGGATCCTAAGATTCCAGGCATTCCCTGGATCTACTGATGCTGCCGGCAGGCATGCAATCAGGCCCTGATCAACTGATAGGAGCCTCCTAACCTTGAAATGTCACTGGTCAAACTCACACTGTTATTCCATTAATAAAAACACAGCGGGTGTTTTAAAAAGGTTGTTAAATGTCTCACAATGTACTTGAAATGCTTAATTTACATAAATTTATGCATGAATTATTGTGACCAAACTAAAGATACAGGAAATATACGCATACAAACTGAACTGATTTGATATATTTTTGAAAGAATTTTCCGACTTTGCTCTACCGGTATTTAAATATTAGTGTAATAATTAACAACAATTGGTAATTAAAAGTATAACAGTTCAAGAACAGTTCAAGAACCACAAAGAATATTACATGTACCGGTATTTGGAAAGGCAAAACCCTCATTTCCATACACTACAAGAATAAAAAACAAAAATTTTCAAATATGAAAAGGTACACACAGTGTTATTGCTATCAAAGAGATGATAATTTCAGCAATTTAATGTAATAATAACGGAGTCTTATATAGCGCACGTATCTACCAACAATTAGATGCTCAAGGCGCTGGAAATTACATGTATGTCTATAAAGAAAGGTAAATAAAGTATATGAGAAATATGAGACCCATAATATGTAGCACCTTATAAGGGTTGACAAGGTGCTGCGGCGCATATTGCAGCCACTGCAAGAAACACCGGGGCAAACCCTTCTCCCATCCGAAGGACGAAACAATAACAAGCACCATGTTCCCACGGTCAGGATTCGAAACCATGTACCACAGCACACAAGTCGAACACTGTAACCATTGGACCACAGCACCCCACAAATGTAGAATTTCTGTAATACCCAGTTGGCTTCAATCTTAAACATGAATGTCAGAATAACAACATGAATGTGGAATATAATACAGCCTGTCTCCAAAAAAATGGTACAATCGAAAACAATTTTTTTTTCAATATTAAATCTCAACATAAGTAAGTCGTTTTGAGCATCACATTAAAGAAAAAAGACCAGGCTTTCCAATACTTTCTGTTTCATCTCATTTGCTTTTGTCAATCCAGAGATAACTCCAGCTTACTGCGGAACACAAAAATCGAGTTAGTTTCTTTTGCCAAGTCGCAAACTTTTGTGAGCTTCAAGACAGCAGGGCACAGTACTCGAAACAACTCTGCCCATGCATAAAAGTGGCACAAAATGGATTTTGGTGTATCGCACTAAACTGATTATTGACAAAAGCAAATAAGATCAAACAAACACTATTGGAAAGCCCAGTCTTTGTTCTTTAATATGTATGCCAAGTAAGAATGACTTATTTTGAAATTTCATATTTAACCAATTTTTTTTCTGATTGTACCATTTTTTTTGAGACAGGCTGTACAGTGAAAGTGCTGTGAACATAGTTGGCATTTCGTAAACGTATAGAATGTCACAATGTTGTCAAGGTTGGCACCCAGTGAACCCAACTGAGTGATAGACTCGTACGTCACACGAGATGGCAATGTGCCGTACACGTGTGCTGGCAATGAAATGTTAAACATGTGCAGGTACCAGCGAACATGTACATGTACATCACCGCTTGCAGAACATCATTCATAAATATTTCAGGACCAAAAAAGAATTTGTTGCCGGTGATGTACCCCGGTCAATGTGCGTACATGTGCATGTACATGTACCTGGACAGGGCAATTTCCATTATTTCTTGTTTTAAAAAAACACACTCTGGTTGATTTAACACTATAAGATTATACATGTTTATAGAAATAGCATTGGAATTAATTGTACATGTACATTCGTGTAAAATATCAGCATTCAGTCATAAAATTTTGAATTATACATGTAAGTTATCAAAAATATTACAAGAAAGAGTTGTCTTAATGAGAGGGTTTTGCGATGATGTACAAAACATGTACATGTACATGTACATTGTAATTAACTGGCGGGGGAAAAAAGAAACAAAAGAAAAAAATACAAAAGAGTGCAATTTTTTGGATGGCCTGCAGTGTTAAAAATGACTTGAAGTTAAACACAAAAGGAAATTTTCTCTTGGAAAGTGAATTTTAAATGCCAGAAAAGAAATGTACAAATATAAAACTTGGAGTAATACACATGTGTCATATGATTATGCTACAAAATATTTACTCTTCGTGATTTAATGAAAAGGAATTACAGATTCGTTATAGAAAGGCCACCAGAAACAAGGGATATTTGTATCATGGCCAGCCCTGTCCTGGTCACATGCTTTAAATAGGGATACATGTGTGCAAATGTGCACATGCTTGTGATGTTAACCTTTTCAATGATGTGGGTCGGCGAGACTGAACGTCATGGTCCCCTCCAGGGTAGTATTTCCCCCTCTGCTCCCCCCCCCCCCCCCCCCGGCCCTTGTGACGTGATCAATGAATGAGTGGAAGTGCTTACGCACATCGTCGGCGCACGTGCTTGGGTTGGATCAGTGCCAAGATACAGCTTGCTGTATTGCAGTGGACATGTATGTACATTGTACATGTACGTACATACACAGTCAGCCTTTCTACATTATGTACAATGTATAGGCTTGCTCGATCCGCTGTGATAATTATGTGCATTCGTTATGCACCTTAACAAATTAGCACATGTGTACATGTACATTATACATCTGTGCTGACATTCTTTTTATTACGTACTGCTTAAAACACAATGCTGTTCATGCATCCATGTTAATAATAATAATAAAGGACATTTATATTACGCAAAACCTATATGGATATACTCTTCTGCGCATTACAAAAAAACAAACAGAAATGCAGAAAAATACAAAATATTAGAAATACTTAATTGTGAAATAAATGTGTTTTTAACCTGGACTTAAATACATTAAGTGAAGAAGATTGTCTGATACAAGGAGGGAGATTGTTCCATAGTGTAGGAGCAGCGTTCACAAATGCCCGATCACCGAGGGTAGCCTTTGATGTTCTTGAAGGGTAAGCCAAGAATGTGTGGTCTTGCGAACTCCTCAGACAATAGGTTGTTCTAGAGAGTGATTTCATGGTTATGAGCTCCTGAATGTACAGTGGTGCTATACCATTAATGGCTTTATTAGTTGACTACAAAAAAACAGGAAAAACTATGTTCCTGTCAAATAGACCATCTTGCCAGCTACTACCATGAATAAAAAAAAACATTTTAACAGAATATACTGTATCACTGAGAATTTAACGATTAATTATACATCAATTAAAAAAAAAAAATTAAGATTAAAATTAATGAAATCCCACGAATAATTGCAAGATTATAAGCCACTCTAAACTTTGACCAAAAAAAATATGCCAAATATGCAATATTAATATGCAATATGCACAAGAAAAACGTTTTTATACATTGGACCTTTTAATATCAATTTCTATTTTTATATGTCAAATTATTCTTGCATTTTTTTACGAAATTGCATCAATTGACATTTGAAAGGTTTAGATGCAATGTATTAGCCAAAGAATCTACTTGAGCGTGAAGTCAGAAAGCTGTAGTAAATTGTTTGCTAATTGAATTTGGAGTTTTAACTGTCAATTTATTGTCAGTGGCTCGCTGCGTAGAGAGAACAAAAACCTTTTCATGGTCTCGCACGTCATCCTGTCAATTTACTGCCGTCAGATTGTCACGTTGTCTGAATGTAGACGTTTTATAATCTAATCAATCAGTACCCAACTGAATTGTTATTAGAGACGTTCATAGAAATGTTGTTATACATGTACAGTTAGACAAGTTGGATTTAAAATGATGGTGTGTATGATGAAAGAACCTGTACATGAAAATATTTATGCATCGAGAAGCCTAATGAAGTTAAAGTTTTTTTTTTTAAATGCTGCAAAATAAACGAATAAATAAAATGTAATGTTTATATACAGCGCTTTCCCTCGTATCAACAATGTCAAAGTGCTTTGCAATTATTCCCCGTTCATCAGGCATTATTGGAGGACAGGGGGGACATGTCTCCCCACTTTTTAAAGTTGGGGGGGGGGATACCATATCGTTTGTCCCCCCCCCCCCACTTTTTTGTCCCTGAAAAAAAATTGTAGCCTATCTTTGATTCTATATATAGAATAAAAAAATGTATACATGTAGCTCAGAAAAGCTGATTTAAGTAATCCAAACTCAAAAATGATGTTTAAATGATGATCGTTGATCAAAAAATTGGTTAAAGTGGTCAGAAATTGCTTCAGATCGTACCACAGAGCGTCTAGAATCCCCACGCCGTAAAGGCTTCGCGCTTCGTGCTCGCATTAGTTCTGATCACCTTATGTCCCCCCCCCCCACACACACTTTTGAGAAGAGATTGATGCCCTTGGTCAAATTATAGGTTTTGCTCTTCACCGACGTTTAAACACTGTATTACTCAGTGTGTTACCTCCCGAGTGAAAGTTGAAAAAAATCACTCGGGTGGGACTCGAACCCACGACCTCCTGCTTTCTAGTGCAGATGTCTTACCACTCGACCACCGAGCTAACGGGATCGGTTGGCTGGTTCGAATCTGATGTACATAGCAGCGTGTACCGCAACTTTCACTCGGGAGGTAACACTCTGAGTATACAGTGTTTAAACGTCGGTGAAGGGCATAACCTATAATTAGATTTATATCACCCCGCCGCAAAATCCCATCTTATGACGCCCTTGGTATCGCGTCAGACTGCCCCAGCATTGTATGGCTATATGGATTCATCGGGAAATAAATCAGTGTAATACAATGTAGTGCAGATGCTAATTGATAACATGTGTTGTGGTCTTTGTTTTCCATCAGGTGATCTGATGTACCTGTACATAATGACTATGGAGGGGACGTCGCACCACGTTACTGCATCGACCAGAGGGTTCTATATCAACCAGTAAGTCATTATTTCAATTTGATCTTTGCTGAAGCCAAATTCATTATCCACAAAAAAAGAAAAAAAATATTGTTGATGTTTGTATGAGATATAGCCATTTTATAACGCTTTTTTTGTGTGCAGGTCTACCCAGGAAGTGTTCAACCCTAAGCCTGCAGATCAGAAGCACAGCTCACACTCTCTGATTGAGCTTCTTAACAAAGTCAGCCCCGTCTTCAAGAAGAACTTTGCGCAGCTGCTTAAGAAAAGGTGAGCAGTGAATGCAAACTTGTATTTTTAAGATATATAATGGTAAGTTGCAGTAGCACCCTAACTAACTGCCGTTCACTCCTTCTTCACTGGCGTGCCCTATCCTCTGTCCTTTTCCTCGCTCGGTCTTTGGAGTGTTTTGCACATCAGCACATAAACATTAACGTCACACATGTACACAAACTAAACAAATTGTCAATTTCACTGGTCTCTGGAAAACGAACAGTGCAATGTTATAGATGTTGAGTTTCCACAGATTCTTCTCAGAATCGTCAAATCATCAGTAAATATTCATTGTCACATTGTGTCACAGCAGTCTTGTTATCTCTTCAAACCAAAGTAGTCCATTCATACACTGTAAACTAGGCACCATTTTGAGGGAAGTGACGAATCTAATCTTCAAACACAGCTGTAAAAACTCCACCAAGTTTTGAGAAAATCGTGTTTAACAGTTGGTCAATTTTTCAAAGTCACGTTTTTGTATACGTTTCTCCTTCAAAATTGCAAAATGTATAACTGATGCGATAGCCCAATAGTTAAATTGCCAAAATATCATCTCAGATTTCATAAAAGCATGTTTAATTAGGAGACCTTAATTATTAAACATATTCGTCACTTCATCAAAATGAAAATTCTTCTTGGTCACATGTAGTAATGTGTTTGTACATAGATTGGTCGTGTGTGCGCGTATGTAAATCTCATAGATTTTAGAACACAGATTCGTCACTTCGTCAAAATGCAAATCGCAGAGAAGACACAAATCTAAGTATAGCACACACGTGTGTAAAATCAACAAGACTAATTGACGAATAGGGATTTGTCACTTGGTCAAAACGAAAAGACTGCTTCGTTGCATATTGACCACTTTGTGTAATTAGCTTAATTAACAAAGGATGCACTTTTGTATCTTGAAATTTGGTTAGCATTTGGAGGACATCAGAGATTAGAATATCCAAAATGTCAAATTGCTTTAAATATCGATTTTGGGCGAATTTGTCGCTTCGTCAAAACGGCGAAGAAGTAACATCTAAAAATATGGCCCTGATGCCTCATGCACACTGTCATTGATGTTTTTTTTTTTTTCACCAATCCAGAGCCCAGCGGCATCCCTTTGAGCGTGTGCCCACTCCGTTCCAAGTCTACACCTGGATGGCTCCTCAGATGGAACACACCATCGATTCCATACGAGCAGAAGATGGTAAGACACCCATAGCACATCTCCCATTTTATGCCGGGATTCACTTGTTTTTATCTCTTGGGAAATTTCTTAAAGCTTGTATCTAGTCGAAGTTGAATCGTCCCCATCAGTCAACTGCGCTTCGTACATTTGATTTTAATCTCTTTTCATCTGGATTTACTTTTAGCTACAGGCATGCAACTTTTCCTCGGATCCGCTGATTTCCTCTTTTTCTACTTCTCATGAATGCCATTTGAAATTGAAAAACACTGTACAAAGTCTTGTGTGGTTTGGAGTTTACTCGTTTTTTCTAAATTCCCAGTTGCATGCCTTTTAGCAACAGAGGAGAGATCTCCCTTTTCTTCAGCTCATATTCCAAGCTGATAAGCTTTAAATAAGATTTGGAACTGTGCATGCTGGAAGTATAAACTAGTGAAGGTTTGCGGTAACACCATGTGGAAGAATCTCTTTTGAGGAGATGTTTGGTTCTGAAAAGAACCGGTTGGTTGTGAAAATCGACGTTCCGATCAGGAACGTCGAGTTGCTGATCGGAATTTCAGCATCCACAACTCCACGCCTCAGTAATCATCCAGCCCTATAAATGCAGCCTTGTCCACTCTGTCTGGCTTTCTCCTGAAGACAATCAGAGCATACTGATCGGAACGTTGAGTTTGACAACCAACCGGTTCTTTTCAGAACCACACATCTTCTCAAAGGAGATTCTTCCTCAAAGCGTTACCGCAAACCCTCACTAGCTGATAAGCTCAGCAGTATTCTGGATGTATGACATCCGGAAAGCTCTTTTTCATTTTCCATGTGCTGGTTTGTAAATTGCACACTGAGAAATGAGCTCATCCTCAGGTTTATACAGAATGTGTCCAAGCCATCCTAGTTGTTTAAGAACAAATTGTTTTAATAGTCATAAAATGAATGACTCATTGTTAAAAATTTTGTCTCTCCTCAGCGTACACCTCCAGACTTGGCTACGAAGAGCATATACCTGGGCAGGTAGGTTCATTCACTCTTTATAAGTTAGTTATACTTGGATGAAGTTGGAGGTGTTCATGTCCAGGAAAGACAAGCAAAGTCCATGTTATTTGTTGCGTTAGATTTGAAGGAAGCCTCAGGAAGTTACTGTAGGTAAAACCTAAGAAAGTTATCACTGACTAAAATTTTTAAAAAGCAAGGAATTTCATTTCAAATTGGTGTGGGGTCAGTTTTTCCCACTCCCAGTAAACTGAATGGGTTTTTAATCACCCACATTTATTAAAATATCTTGGTTGTAGGCTTCCCCAAAATTGAGGGAAAAAAAGTTGAAGGAAGAGGTATTCCAATCCATGACTTAAAGTAAATTATGATTTCGGGAGCATACCTGTAACACCTGTGCTTTACCAAATAATTATCAACGCCTACTAAAACCTTTGCCTTGGCTTAGGTTTTGACTGGTCCCAATTTCATGGTGCTGCTTAACAGTTAGCTTAAAACTTGTGCTTGCGATAGCAGGAAATTGTGCTAACCTTAAGCACTACGGTATTTCACAGTGTGGATGAATTAATGGTTGTGCGTGCATGGAGATTTCTATTGTTACGTCACTGATGTTATAAGCAACAGTTTCCTCTTGGATGAAGCGTGCTTTTGCTGCGCTTACTACTTATGGTATCCATGAAATAGACGGAAGCTCTGTTAGCAGAAAATCTTGTGCTTAGCAGCGCCGTGAAATTGGGCCTTGGCTTTTTAGAATAGTTGAGAAGCTGTAAAGTCCAAATCAAAAAAGCATTCTAATGTTTTTGGAGAACAACCCATATTAAGCCAGATTTCCTCAAACTAAGTGCCTGAAATATTCTCACGGCTAAGAGAAGGTTTTAAAAAAAATCTATGTTGGCAGTTTCGCAAAGTATTTTCAATTTCCTGTAATAACTTATGGTTATGTGTAAATCCATTCTGTCTTTAGACCAGAGATTGGAACGAGGAATCGCAGACGACGCGAGAGTTGCCGCGCAAGAACCTCCCCGAACGACTGCTGAGGGAACGCGCCATCTTCAAAGTGCACAGTGACTTTGTCGCCGCGGCAACCAGGGGTGCTATGGCGGTCATCGACGGCAACGTCATGGCAATCAACCCAGGGGAAGACACAAAGTATGGAAAGGGTTTTTGGGTTGATTCCCTCCCCCCCCCCCCCCCCCCTGTTTTAGACTTTGGCTTTTTGTCTTGAAATTGGGTAACAGAATAGAGTAGGCTTTTGTTTCTGTTAAAAAAATCTGTAAAGCTTCCAGTGCGAACTAAAAGAATATTGAATTCTCATCCTATCCAATAGTGAAAGAAAGTTGAAGACAATTAGCGTCATTAACCTCAACTCCCTAGCGTATTTTACTAGGAACTGGACCAAGTCCATCAAAATCCATCAATCACTATGCGTCCAATACCAAACTGTACATGACATAATGGAATCCACCACTGACACACTGGTTGACATTCATGGACTTGCTACACATTGGCTTTTATCACAATAGCAGTACAGGAAGCTAGGCAAAATCAATCAGATACCCCTAGCACTGCTTTAGGCCATTAGGCCCAAGTCCATCATACTCCATCAATATTTAGTCACACCAGGCCTTCTGGACCAAGTCCCCCAAAATACACCAATATGGGGGATGGATTTTGATGGAGTTGGGTGGTTAGGGTTAATAAAACCCTAGAATGTTGGTTGAAGGAAATGAGATTAAGAATCAAAATCTCATATTGCACTGTGGTACATGTACACCATGTTTACTTTTTGCTTTTTTTATATGGATGAATTTGTTATTTGGGTAATTATCACAGAGATCAGTATGAGGGCATTGTGATTTTAGGCAGACTAATGTTCCGCGAAAAAAAAATATGAATTTCTGCACTGTACATAAAAAAAACCAATTACTAGATAAACATTGCTGTGTGCGGTATGTTTTAAAGAGGTTGTGGAATGCTCGAAGACATTTCCGTCATTTTTTGGGTATATGTAACCTAAGGTGTGATGAAATAAAAACGACTATTGTTTCTGTCATGAAATGAGCACAAAGGGTACTTTTGAGAGCTATTTTTCAGGTCCTGTTTCGACCCGAACGTGCAATTTGTGTAAAAGTCGTCGTTGCGGGCAGCAAACAAAACACAGTAAATCGTGACGTAATAAACAGGACTCGTTTATGCTACTCTGCATCGGGAGTCCTGTTTATTACGTCACGATTTACTGTGTTTTGTTTGCTGCCCGCAACGACGACTTTTACACAAATTGCACGTTCGGGTCGAAACAGGCATGACAGGACTTGAAAAACAGCTCTCAAAAGTACCTTTTGTACTCATTTTATGCCAGAAACAATAGTCGTTTTTATTTCATCACACCTTAGGCTACATATACCCGAAAAATGACGGAAATGTCTTCGAGCATTCCACAACCTCTTTAAGCTGTGGAACTCTGCAACATTACATGTAGGTCATAATTTGACCAGAATGATGAATGACATTTGACCCTTTTCAAATCTAATCCGCTGCAAAAAATAAGTAACGTTGTGTTATATCTGTAAGCATAAACTGAATCGTTCCCTCACTATCTTTTTCCAGAATGCAGATGTTCATCTGGAACAACATTTTCTTCAGTCTGGGCTTTGATGTCAAGGATCATTACAAGGAATTCGGTGGGGATGCTGCCGCTCTTGTCGCTCCAGTAAGTCCGAACATGTTATCCACCGTTTTCTCAACGTGAGCAAGTACCCAATAGTTAAAGGGAAAATACAACATTTGCAAACATCACAAAACGAAATGATCAGATTGTCACAAAATACCTTACTGGATTGTTAGGGAATGACAGTCTAAAGCATCCTGTAAAATCGTGGCTCCTGATGTGCTGACATTTTCAAGAAAAATGGTATTTTTCCAACGCTGGTCGGCCGACCAGCATTGGAGAAAACTGGCTTTTTTCAAAAACTGCTTGCAAACTCTTTGCTGCAAAAACAGCAAAAACTCTTTGCAATTGATTACACGCCTGTGAAGGGGTACAAGCCTGCTAGACTGATTCTCTGACCTCACAATTCCCCAAAGTCTATAGATTCTCCTTTTCATCTTAAGTGGGGTCAGGGAACCAGACTACAAGAACATGATTGGTTTTCTTGGTTTTTCCAGTATATACAAGCCCAAAACGTGAAACAAGTCATTTTAACAATATTTGTTATAACATCCTAATCCTCCAAATCCATTTATTTATGAAATTTGAAGCAAAAGCAAATGTTGTACATTCCCTTTAACATCTTTAACGGTCAACAAACTCAGGGCTAATAAATGCTCCCAAACTCTGGAACAATCAATCTAGATGTTGTTAATTGCAATCATTGACTAAATCAACTCTTCAAGGCAGTGTACAACATTTGCAAACATAACAAAACAAAACTACCAAATTATTATGAAATACCTTACTTGACTGTAAGTGAATAATAGTCTCCAGCATCCTGTGAAATCATGGCACCTGCTGTGCTGTCATTTTCAAGAAAAGTGGAATTTTTGTATCAGCTGACCATCGTTGATGAAAACTTCCTTTTTTTGCTAATACTGCCCCAAATTTACCAAATTGCGTTAGTCCACATTTTGTTTGCAATCGGTTACATATCAGTGAACAGTTGCAAGCCAGCTAGTCTGGTTCCCTGACTTGACAATTCCCCAACGTCTATAAATTGCTCCGTTTCGTCTGAAGTTGGGTCAGGGAACCAGACTACAAGAATAGCATTTTTGTCTTGGTTTTTCCCAGCATCTGTGAACACAAAACTTTAAAACAGGTCAGTGTGTCAATATTTGCTATAAAATAATCACCCCCAAATCCATCCATTTCTGAAAATTACAGCAAAAGCAAATGTTGTATATTCCCTTTAAAATGTTGTTGTTTCATATTGTGTTCTTTGAACTTTCTGTATCGCGAATCTCTCAAAAGTCATCCTTTACCCATTTTTGACATTTCATTTTCTGAACGCGTTTTAAAGATTCTGTCTTGGAAATCTCTCAAATTCATGTTTTAAATCTTTTTTTCTCCAGAGTAACGATCTGCAGGGAGTCAAAGCCTACAACGGCGTCGACATCGAGGGTCTTTTTACCCTTGGTACGGTTGTGGTAGATTACCGTGGTTATCGCATCACTGCTCAGTCCATCATCCCGGGCATCTTGGAGAGGGAGCAGGAGGAGTCCGTCATCTATGGTTCGATTGACTTTGGCAAGACGGTGGTCACCAGCGACAAGTACAAGGAACTGGTGAGCAAGATAGTTCTGTTCTATATTTTCCCATGCTTGATCAGTAGCCGAGTTCACAGAACAAAGTGTAACTTTTGCCATGTGTAGGATATACGCAATATACTTACATTTTTTTCTCATGAAACTTGGTGTAGCTGTGTAAAACGTAAAATATTATAAACACTTTTCATGAGGATGATCATAGCTTTTAGTATGATTTAGTGTCTGTCAAAATAGTTGTTGAATCAGCTTTGCCTGTCATTTTGGGAAAACAAAATTTTGTCTGACATTTGTGGGATCAGGCGGCAACCATAAAATTCTGTCATAGGTAAAACTAGCCTTTCATTATGAGAAAAGCTCCGAATTTCTATAACAAATTTTGATAAGTTGGGTAATGATAGTCAGTGAGCAAGGTTTAATCATAATTATATTTTTTTTACCTGTTTTCAGCTGACCAAGTCTGCCCAACAGCTGAAGATTCTTCCCCACAAGGTTGTCAACCACAAGCAGGAAGAGGTGGAGATATTCTCATCAATAGAATGCAAGGTAACATTGTTTGAAACGGAGATAAATTACAGGTGTCATGTTTTGGTCATGCATGTGTAAAGGCTAGTTCATACGTTACAAGAATTTTAAGAGCAAAGGCAATTCGGTAAGATTTTGACAGTGAAACGATTTTGACAGTGAAACGATTTGACATTCATGATATTGCTTCACTTTCACTTTTGCATTATGAATTGGCCTTGAAGGGAGGTTCCCCATGCTTTTTTGGTGTGGCACCCTAAAAAATATATTTTAAAATTAAATTGATTTATTTGTTAGCTGTAAAAAAGTTATGACCATTCCAATGAGTCAGTGAACAAAAAATGGTTAACCATCATGGAAATTGAGACACAAATTCCACTTTTCTTGAATATACTGCACACCAGGTGCCATGATTTCACAGAATGCTTGAGCTACAATGTATACTATTATTCACTTACAATGAAGTAAGGTATTTCATAATAATTTGGTAGTTTTGTTTTTCGATGTTTGCAAATGTTGTATATTTCCTTTAAGGGTGGGACGTTCCTAAATCAGTTTATACTTATCTCATGTCATATCCACAACACATACTGCTATCGCAACCCAGCCCTGACTTACATCATCAATGCCATGCCCAAAGCGCAACGTACCACTGCAGTGTGTGTGCGCGTAAACATACTGCATAGACCAAGTGCGACACCCGACTCAGGCCAAGTTTAAATTCAACTCAAGCGTGAAATAAGCACAATATACAAAGCTCTCTTTTAAATAAAAAACTATTTTTTATCAAGTGTAAGCCAAGTTGCAATTGAAGAACAAGTTTCTGACTTCATTTACATGTACCCATCTACTGATATTCTAATTAAGATTTTGTAATCAAGTTTTTCAGAATTGCAAAATCTTTTGTAGTTGTTGTTAATCATGATAAATAACGTCATCAAACAACCCAGGTTGTTGCTTATATGGCTTGTCTTGATACTTGCTCCTTCCCAGGGCATAAAGGGTAATGATGGCAGACATTACATACTGGATCTGCTGAGAACGTTCCCACCAGATATCAACTTCCTGCCAAGTAAGTCCTCCATTTACAGGAAAAAATTAAAACTTCGGCAGCATTCTTTAACTATGATCCCCCATGCCTGAAACTAGGAAAAAATTTGCCAATTCATGAGCTTTTGATTTATTTGATTGTCCATAACTACCAAAGTTTTCTTGGCACATTATTGTACTTTGGATGAACGGAAGTATGAAAACAGCTTCTTAATGGTACACGTGGCAAATTTCACAAACCAAATATTCCTAGTACATCCTAGTTTTGAGTATAGCATGATGTTCAACTCCCGCTCTTGTCAGTTTTCTTTGTTCACTGAAAACAAATGAAGTTTGGTCAATTAATGTCAAAATGGGCCTTCTTCACGAGTCGGCCATATTGAATTGAAATTGAGGTAAAAATCTTAAATTTCAGAACTTGCGAAGAGAAATAAAAACAAGTTTAATTGATGATAAATTCCAATCTGCTTCAATGAATAATTTAAAATTTGTAATTAAACATTCCCTAATGCTTTAAGCCATATTAAAAAAAATTACTGTAAAATAAGACTGCATTGTGCCTGCATAAATAGTCTGGCGCCATCCCATTCAACAGTTAACAGTTAATTAAATACATTCAGGGTCAGGGAACTCAACAAAAATGGCCAACTCGTGAATAAGGCCCATTGCTGATGATGAAATTTTTAAGCACTGTTTTTTTGTTAAACTTATGCTAAAAATAATAATAATAATGAGGTGCTCCTTTAGTACTTTATACCAAAGGTCTCAAAGCGCTTCACAATTATTACCCCTGTTCATCAGGCCATGAGACCATTCATCTGCAGCAGCTGGAGATCAGCGCATTCTGGTCTCTGCCTTCACAGGTACCCATTTATACTCCTGGGTGGAGAGAGGCAATTGTAGTAAAGTGTCTTGCCCAAGAACACAAGCACTGTGTTCCCCATCAGGGTTCGAACCCACGTACCAAAACAAACCACCATAACCACTGGACCACAGCACTCCACGAGTGCATTGCATATGGACAATCTTAAATCTTTACTGATTTAAAGAGTATTTTATGTAGTCAGCACATTTGTTTAATCACTTTTAATGTGTGTGTTCTGGTTTTAGTTGAAGGAGAGGAGCTAAACGAAGATGTAAAAGCTCTTGATTTCCCCCGCAAGCACCGTCACAAACTCTGTTGTCTACGACAGGAGCTCATCGAAGCATTTGTTGAGTAAGTCTTCCCTTTTCCATTTGTCTCTCAAGCGGTAGTTTGTTTTGCAAGGTCTCCACAAAGACCTGGGCCTAAGTTAATTGAGCTGGTAGCAAAAAAACATGTAAAACACAGAAATTACTTGCTAATCGAAAAACATGTTACCTGCTAGTCCGTAACTGGTTCTCAGCTTGTGGACTAATTCGACAACAGCAATTTTTCTGCGGTAGCACCAGGCTTGTGCGATTCGTGCTTGGGTAGTACGCACGCACTGCGGGCTCCTTCAACCAATAGGGTTACAAAAATGGGCATGCGGAAAATCCTTAAAGAAAGTTTTTAAAGTTGATAAATTCTGGTAAATCATTATTATCTCCACTCACACTGTATCCAACTACAAATTTGTCATAAAAATATTTTCTTATTTTTGGGCGCATTTTAAAAGGGTTCATTGTGCACTTCGAAATAAAATTTTAAAAATCATGCCAAAATAGAATTTCTTTGGGACTCTGTAGCGGGTGCGTAAACTCAAGATTTATGAACAGAATGTTTAGAGCTTGATGACATTTCACTTTGTGAAATTTGTGGTAAAACTTTGGCTCTAGCAAAGCACTAGAGGCGAAAAATCAAAGTGCGCCACGTTAGGGGCCGTGCCACGTTAGGGTACAACAGCAATACATGCTTAACACATAAAGTTGCAATATTTCTGCTTAACACATTCGTGAGCTTTAGCCCTGAGCCTCATTTAATATCACCTCGAAGCCCACACGTTTTCTACTTGTCTGACCCATCAGCCATTTCATACATATCATAAGCAGTAAGTTCAGCAGAGAGTACATGTATGTATGGACCAAAACATTTCTGACACAACAGTGAAAAAGTCTGAGGCAAGTGGAAGAATTTGCATTTCAGGCTAAGAAAATAGGGTCAAGGTCAACGTAAACTTTCTGCCTGCTATTATTCAGCTCTATTAAACTCATGTTGATTTGAATTTCTTTCAGGCATCAGTATATGGTGTTTGTCCGCCATGCAGCTGTCCTATTAATGCAACAGCAGAAGCCGGAGACAGAAACTGCTTCAAAAGAGAGCAACAACAATGCCAATCAGACTGAATCTAATATAGAGGAACAAAAAGACGATCAAAAAGACGATCAAAAAGACGATCAAAAAGACGACCACAACACAGCAAAGACAGAAACATCCAAAGAGCAAGACGTTATTCTTGAAACTCCCTCCCATGAAACAAACTCGGAGCCGGAAACGGAGGAGCCAAAGGACAAACTCAACGGACTTGAGGAATCCCAGGAGGATGGCGAGAAATCCACGGAGGATACATTGAAGGACAGTTTGAAGGACGCGGCCAACGCAGTCCTGGCGGGGAAGTGTCCCATGCTGAACGGTCTGGACGTGACCGGGATTGATCAGTTGGCTGAGAACATCAGCAGTGTGACGGAGGAGGCTGCGAAGGCGCTCACCGAGTCACAGAAGAAAGACATAGGTGAATATGTTACAATGTATTACATTGTATTACATTGTATTTATGATAGACCCTGATGGATTTAAGAGGCATATGTTTTGGGCGGTTTGGGGCAGTATAGAGAGTAACGGGGAGGGTGGTCTGGGGCCCAATTTCATAAAGTTGTAAAGCAGAAAATAGCCGGGAACCAATCTCAAGCCCTGAACATTGCATTACTTTTTGGCTGGTAAAAAAGGTCATGCATTGTGAACTCTTGCCAATTTTGTTTTATTTAAAAAGTATTTGGTTATCATCAAGTTCTTTGTATTCTGTGTCCGTTTGGCAATCCAGTTGACTCGGGTCACAAGGAGGTCATTGCCAAGGCAGCCAAGGTCGCGGGGTCACTGAGCATGACAGAATTTGACATCCGCTTCAACCCCGACATCTTTTCGGAGGGCGTGACGCATGCTGACCCCGATGTAGGTATCCAGCCAGACTAGGACGGAATAGTAGTAGTTTCCATGAGATGTAAAATCTAAGGAGAAATTCTTGTCGGGTTCCCACAGACTTGGACAAATCCTGGAGAATCCTAGAAATTTAAAGCTATCATGGAAAGTCATGGAAAAGTCGTGGATTTTTTTTACTAGGAGTCATTCAAAGTTGATATTCCAAGACAAAGCCATGGGAAGAGTACGTGATGATGTGTAATATTTTGGCAATGGCAGTCTTCCAGTTTGCATTCCAGTTTACTATACATGTACTTCCTCTTTATGCATACTTGTTGCATGTTCAATGCACCATTGTGATGCTTTTGTGGTGCTCAGTGGTCTTGTGTCAAACTGGAAGGCTGAAAGGTCGTGACGTCCCTGCCAAAACAGCATAGGATTTGGTCACGGAAAGCCCCAATTTTGTCGTGGTAAAGTCATGGAATTTCAGTTAAGATGTCAGTAAGAACTTTCAATTTTGGTTGGAGCATTTGACATTGTTAACGATGAGCATTACTGAGCATTGTTGAAACAGTGAATTCAGAAATATAATCCTCCTTTTTTTCTTTCCTTTAAAATTACAGAGCGAAGTTTTTGAGAGGGAAAAGCGAGTGGTCAAGGATGCTGCTAGGTTTCTCCTCGTTGGCCAAATTCCTACATTTGTAAGTGTTTACTCTTTTATTTTTTGATACAGCCATATAACCTAATCTTCAATACACAAGTCAGTCACAAGTCGGGTCAGGTCAATAATGAAGGAATGCCATTTGTAACATTTTATTTGAACAGCTTATGTAGGGCCAATGATTTTCTGTTTCAGAAAAGTGCAAATTCTGTTTTCAAAAATACTGAATTCCGTTTCAGGCTGAAAAATTCCGTTTCACATTTATTCCATACATAAAAAGGCATTTAAACATATACCATGTACACAGTAAATAATTCCAAGACGATAATGAAATAGTCATTTGGTTGGAGCGCGGGAAAACTGCCCCAAAAAGATTTCTATTTTATCAACGGCCAATCAGTGTACAGACATAGTATTTAACTTCACCACAGTCAAGTCGTATACTGCACTGCCACTGCCACACACGCAAGAAACATGCAATAGCCGTACAGGCCAATCCCATGACGTCACCCACATCAGCTGGCCGAAGCGAAATTCATGTCCGCCATTTTGTTTTCGGTCTAACGTTAGCGGCAAAATAGAATAGTTTACGCATGGAGGAATAAGAACACACGGTAGATTTTGGACCTCAGCACAACATGCATTTCAATAGAGCCAAAGTTAGATGTTATACGAATGGTTGATTGATTGAACAGAGAAAAATAAACCTGCCGATGGAGCAAAAGAGACCCGCGAGAGCGTGCCGTGAGTGTGATGATTTTCACCGTTGCGCTGAAAAACAGCTACGGCATGCGTCGGGACTGTCACTCCCATGACTACACGTACTACGGTAATGATCTCGTAACATTTATTGCTCTGATCTTGAACGTTTTTGTCCCCCTAGAATCGTGATATAAACACCGCTCATTTGTTGTATGGCTCGTCTGTTCAATCAATCATCAGTAATTCGTTTTGTACTCAATAAATTTAACGAAATTATGTTTTTTTATCAATAAAATTGCAGAAATTATTTTCTTCAGATTTAAATTCCGTTTTCCGTTTCGAGGAGCAGATTCCGCGAATTCCGTCCTTTTTCCGCGATCGTGGAAAATGTTTGGCCCTACTTATGACTTGAAGTCTAAATGAGTTGTGATTGACTTGTGATTGGCTTGTGATTTTCTTTTATTTGACTTGTGATTGGCTTGTAATGGATTTGTGATTTAATTGACTTGTGATGGACTTGTGGTTGACTTGTGGTTGACTTGTTAAATTGTGGTTGACTTGTGATTGACTTGTGATTGACTTGTGTGTGACTTGTGATTGACTTGTGATTGACTTGTGATTGACTTTTATTGACTTTTATTGACTTTTATTGACTTAGACTCTTGAGTTCATGGTAGTTCTTCCCATCAATGAACATCTAGCTTAAATCTCTGTTTTTGCTTTCCTCTGCCCATGATTTTACAGATACGTGAATGTTTGGAGCATAACCTAGCACCCCTGGATGGTTTGACCCTGATTGAGGCATTACATCAAAGGTAAGAAAACTGAACATTTGATATTCCCCCTAAAAAACAACAACGAGGGCTCAAAGTAGGCTTAAGTAGGCTTGAGCAAGGTCTAGGTCTGTCTCATTGAAAATATGCGTCGACCCGCCGACAATAGATGTAGCCGTAGCTATGGAAGACCGTTTTTGAACGGCCTTATATTGGATGAATTTGTGAAAATGGTCCTTGTAATAAACATGCTTAATCCATTATCGCTATGTATTTCATTGTATTTATTCCCATTGAATTCATTAAACCACACAGTGGTTGGGGCAGTTTATGGCAGTACAAGGAGTACCAGGCATGGTGGTTTGGGGCAGAACAGGTATAAATGGGTTAAAAGATAAAAGTAAAGAGCCTTGGGAAAAAAACATGAAATAAAGTGGTTTCTGGTTAGTTCTATTTAAATTGTTTTACTCGCAGAATGTTGCCTTAGAACTTTGTGCCAGAAAGCACATCTCTGCTGTTGTTTATTAACCTATCGCTGTAGAATCCTGGCAACGCAACTTATGAAATATTGTCCAATTACATGATATACAAATGGACGCGGAACGCGCAAAATCTGAGACAAACAAATCTTAACATACAAAATTCCATAGGGTTGTCTAAGGGGCGTTGCTAACTTGCAAGCAGCAATAGGAAATTGTCTTCACACTTTTTCAGCCGGTGCATATTATTATTTCATGAACATTTGTATTGTACTTTTGCAGAGGCATCAACGTTCGTTACCTGGGTGTCATAGCAACGATTGTTTCCACAATTCCCCCTCTGTCCTATCTACATGTAAGTCAAATTCCACATTGAGCCCGGTTTACTTATGATTCAGCCTGTATAGTGCCACATTTTTGTAAACATTGTTTAAAAACAAAATCAGTTAATATTATTGTCTGTAGAGAAATCTGTGTCCAAAAACATTTTGGGTAGAACACTTGTCTGGTAAATCCAAGGCATAGTGTTCAAAACTTGGTCTGGTAGTTTTTTTTTATGCATCTAAGTAAACCCAGCTTGGAGGCTGCTTGTGAGTGAAATCATCATTAGTGGTTACCTCAAACTTTTAACCATACACAGAGGTTGTTAGTGAGTGAGATGATCATCCGTGGGGCCAAGCATCTCTTCAAGACCTTCATGCAAGGAGTAGGCATGGTCAGTCTGTCGGCAGCCATCAGCCACTTCCTCAACTGCTTCCTGGGCTCGCTGCCCAATCCGCAAGCACCCAAGGCTGATGACGAGGTGAGTGCTGTTGGAGGGGGTAAAACGTTCAACATCGAGCCTTATGTTTTAACGAACTTTTGTTTAAACTGAGGAACATGTTAAAAAATGACTCGAAATCAACCTGCTTAACTGCTTTGCCTGAAAAAGAGTAAAACCTGGATCACAGAATGTTGCTCAAGTTTTGTTTAAAATTGGGCAAACATGGTTATGAACACAGTTTGAAAAAAAAAATATAAACATTTGTGGGATTTTTTTTTGAATCTGGACAATTTAGGGCATTGTGCAGCAAATTCATTAAGGGTTTCATGGAGGCATTTCCACACAAACCGATTTATACGAGTCACAGAAGTGATCCAACCAAAGAGCTATATTAAATTACAAGAGCGCTAACTCCTCATTTGTATTCCCGGAGATATTTTGAAGCCGTTCTGGGCGCAGACATTTTGAGCTCATGTGTGTGTTTGTAGAACACAATGCAATTAGATGGAGTGAATTTTGAATGTGTACACTATTGTGCATATGCAAACAACTTAAGCAGGTCATGACGGGTAAAAATGTCATGTCGTGTACGTTGTTTACGCAGAGCAAAAAATGCTCATTTACTGATCGTGCATTTCGGTATCAGGTGTATCGGCTTCGATAACGCACCTCTATAGAATACAGACCCAGATATACAAATAGCCATACAAAAGCCGTACAAAATTTCAAGTTTTCCATAGGTTTGTGTACAAATATGGATGCACCCGGCAGGCATTACTTTGTACATCGAGTCAGTGCTCCGGTAATTTAATATAGCTGTATGGATCCAAGTTAGCATGCTAAATGCACATGTGACACTGGAGTGTGTGATAGTGTGACCTTTCTTTGTAGTTGTGCTAGAAGAATGCATTCTGTTTTGTGACCTTAAGGTTGCTGACGTTCTGGTTTCTTATGTATGTTTATCTGACTGGCTTGGAGGTAAAGGTAAGTTTTCTTGGAGACTTGTCTTTAACTTTTTTTTCTCTATTTTTACAACAGATGACCAACGGGCATGGAAAGAAGAAGCGAAACAAGAAGAAGACAGGCAGACTCCTAACTGCCCTAGGACATGGTAGGCTCCAGATCCAAATTAGTTTTCTTAATTTGAATTTTCAGTTGTCTTTTCTTTGGAAAATAATGCTAGGTAACTTTCCACTGAGTATTGAAACAGTGTGGTCAACATAATTAAGTATCTACCTTTAAGGCAATATACAACTTTTGCAACCATCAAAAAACAACTCCACCAAATTATTATGAAATACCATACTTGAATAATAGTCTCAAGCATCCTGTGAAATCATGGCACCTGGTGTGCTGTCATTTTCAAGAAAAGTAGAATTTTGTATCAATTTCCAACGATGGTCGTCTGACTATCTTTGATAAAAACCTGACCTTTTTCAAATACTGCCCCCAATTTACCAAATATAGTTAGTCCACATTTTGTTTGTAATTGGTTACACATCCGTGAACGGGTGCAAGCCAGCTAGTCTGGTTTCCTGACCTGACAAGTCCCCGACGTCTATAAATTGCTCAGGGAACCAGACTACAACAACAGCATCTTTTTCTTGGTTTTTCCATCATCTATGAACACAAAACTTTAAACAGGTCAGTGTAACAATATTTGCTATAAAATACTAAGCCCCAAATCCATCCATTTCTGAAAATTACAGCAAATGCAAATGTTGTATATTACCTTGAAAATGGATAGGGCTTTAAGCAAAACACCTCATAATGTTTTTGAATCGTCCTTGTTTTTGCTACAGACAGCATAGTATGGGCCAGCCTCAACCCACTGGAGATGTGGACCAACTTAAAAGCCGAGGTCAACGAATATTACCACTTCAAAATAGAGTGGTAAGTATTGATTGGCCTGTTGCTTTACATTATTCCCTGAAGACTCAACATTGATCCGTGGTGACTTGTGATCGATTCATGGGGTGCTGTAGTCCAATGGTTATGGTGTTTGACTCACGTGCGGTGGTACATTGGCTTGAATAATTACGGGGAACATGGTGCTTGTGTTCTTGAGCAAGGCACTTTACTACAATTGCCACTCTCCACCCAGGAGTTTAAATGGATACCTGGGAAGGTACAGACCATATTGCGCGGAACTTGAGCTGCTGCAGAAAAATGATCTCATTCCTGATGAAAAGGGATAATTGTAGAATGCTTTGAAATTGCTATATAAGCACTACATTATTGTTATTATTATTGTTATTATTATTATCATCAACTTGCAATTACTTGTCATAATTTTGTGATAGGGGAGTGTGGCCTAGTGGTTAGGGTTCGTGACTCGTGATCAGAGGGTCAGGGGTTCGAATCCAGCTGCTGGCCATATGTTGTGTCCTTGGGCAAGCCACTTCACTCCCACTTGCCTCTCTCCACCCAGGAGCATAAATGGGTACCAGCATTAGCTGGGATGGATGGACTAGCATCCCATCCAGGAGGAAAAAGAAAAATTCTCAGTTGTTTTAAACAAATGAAACTGGAGATGTACACCAGCCTGATGAACCATATTCTTAAGACAAAGTTTTTTTAAAACTATTACGATAGGCTTGTAAAGACCTGTAATGACTACATGACTAGATTACACCTCTGTCTTTGCTTGTTACCATCACTGAAAAAGCTAATCTACACAAGACAAGTAAAATACTCGGACAGTGCACTCATACATTTGTTTTTGTTCAAACTCTGTCCCTCCACAGTGACAGTATAGACTCAGCCATCGAGACCTACAACTTCCAGAAAGTGACCCTCCTGCGAGAGTTCTGCACCAAGTGTGGTGTGCAGCTCCTCCTACGAGACTACGACTTGGACGCCAAGCACCGGGCCGTCTTCAGTGAGAATGACATCATCAATGTCTTCCCCGTGGTCAAGCATATCAACCCCATCGCCAGCGATGCTTACAACTTCTTCCAGAGCGGACAGGCCAAGATCCAACAAGGTTTGGACACAATTTTTGTTTTGGAAAAAATAAAAAGGTTTTATGAAGCAGAGTTTAGAGGCCTGTTCATACCTTATTTGAGTGTGAATACCGAGTGAATTTTAACATCATAAAACATAAATTAAATTTGTCCAGAGTTGAAATGTGAGGCGTTCTGTCAAAATGAGACAGAACTGGGCAGAGGTCGAAATGAGTGTTTGCGGGTTTTAGAAAAGAGACTAAAATCATCCTTACAATACGTTTTGCTGCACTTCAATCGGAAATTCCGTTGACAAATAATGGTTGTTTAAATGTTGCATTTATCAACATGTAAAAAGAGTAAAACACTTAGAAAAAGGCCTTTAAAGTTTTGAGTTTGGTATTCGTGAAAATGAAAAATGCCAATACTTTTTCCTTAAAAGCACTTTTTATTGCAAGATTTCATACTATTTCTTACATATATGTGTGGTAGACATATGAAAGATTACAACTATCAATTAATCTGAAAATTGCACTACGGCTTGTGCCCAGTTCCGTCCCATTTTGCCAGAATGCCTCACAAATGTGTTCAACTTATCTGACGTTATTGTGTAGAAATCATGACTCGATGTCAGTTATTCGGATTCGCGTTTAGGTTTACAAAAAGCATGTACTGGCCTTTTTCTGATAAACTTGATAACTGCATACATCACAGAACTCTGGTAGGCCTAGAATTAATCTGAGGAATGGACCAATCCGGTTCGTAAGTGTGACGTCATTTCAACTTAGCCAGCGGGCGCTAGTAATCAGTGGTGCATGTGCGTGTATGACGCGGTCACTTACGAACCAGATTCATGCAATCTTTTTGACCAATCATAGCCATGCTTGTACAACCAAATGTTTGACAAACGGCCAACATGCATGCACTTGCATATACAGGGTGGTCTCAAAAAATGCAACCTCATACTTCCAATATCCAGGGACCCAAACCACTGATATGTATGGCTAGAACATGCTGTTAGAAGGAAAATGATACCAAGAACTCCCGATTCGTTTAGTAGTTTTGATTCTAGCGCCATTTTTTTGTGAACCAAAGTCAGGGGTTAAGATAATCCTTTAAACATAATAAGAATAACCCATGTTTCCATGTCTTTTGTTAACAGATTTCTGAAATTGTTTTTGTCTTTACTTCAATTTTACTTAATACTCAAAATTTGACCATCAGTTCACCTGAAGGAAGGCTATGAGTTAATCAACGAAGCACTGAACCTGTTCAACAATGTCTACGGTCCCATGCACCCAGAGATTGCTAGCTGTATGCGCAACCTGGCACGACTCCACTACCTCATGGGAGAACATCCAGAGGTAGGGGTTAGACTAATACATCAATCACAAGTAGGAGACATGTATGTGTATGCCTCACTTGGCCAAAATGTTCATTACGATATGGGCTCCGTGCCCGAACACGAGGGGGCGTTTTCGACCACTTTTTAAGGCTCCAGTGGGGGACACACAGCGTGTGCTGCAAGCCTTACATACTCATGGGAAGACCTTTGTTTCCCTTCATTTGTTCTCCTTTGTTCCTATTGAAATCTCAAACTCCATAGCTTTTCCCTTATGGGGTAGATAGACTTCATTATGGGGTCTACTGTTGTATTGTGTTTTCTACCTCATAAGGAACCATGTACATGTACTTTACTGGTCACACGTCTCCTCAATATTTCCTTTCTAAAAATATCCTCCTAGCCAAGATGGTTAGTCTCCTCCATAATTCCCTTCTAAAAAATATCCTCCTAGCCAATATGGTTCGTTTCTTCCATAAGTCCCTTCTAAAATATCCTCCTAGCCAAGATGGTTAGTCTCCTCCATAATTCCCTTCTAAAAAATATCTTCCAAGCCAAGATGGTTTGTTTCTTCCATAATTCCCTTCTAAAAAATATCCTCCAAGCCAAGATGGTTCATTTCTTCCATAATTCCCTTCTAAAACTATCCTCCTAGCCAAGATGGTTAGTCTCCTCCATAATTCCCATCTAAAACATATCCTCCAAGCCAAGATGGTTTGACTCCTCCGTAATTCCCTTCTAAAAAATATCCTCCAAACCAAGACGTTTTGTTTGTTCCATAATTCCCTTCTAAAATATCCTATTAGCCAAGATGGTAAGTCTCCTCCATAATTCCCTAATAAAAATATCCTCCTAGCCAAGTTGGTTAGTCTCCTTTATAATTCCTTTCGAAAACAACGTCCTCCAATCCAAGAAGGTTTGTGTCTTCCATAAATCCCTGATAAAAAAATACCCCCAACCTATTGGTCAAAGGAGCATGGAATGTGTGTTAGCACATTAGCAACTTAGTCAAGGCTTCTAATGGTGAATGCCTGTTTAGTCTGTATGAGCACACGACTTGTAAAGTTCCCCATGTTTATTTGAAATCCTTTTCTGTGATAACTTTTGACTGAATAATTTGCGGTTTTACATGTTAATGTAAAGGAGAATCTTGGTTTTTTTTGTGTGTGTGTGGCCAGGCTCTTGAGATGCAGCAGAAAGCAGTCATGATGAGTGAACGCTGCAACGGAGTGGACCATCCCAATACCATCAGTGAATACGTGAGTAGCTTCATTGACAGTCTAGAGTTGAAAGAAAATGTCATCCTTTTTAAAATGAAAACAAGTACCAAGTGGTACAACCCACGGCGGCTGGGTAGCAGCGAGGCCAGGTAACGTGTGAAGACGGCTATACGGCACCGTCTGTGCACCCGGGCCGTACCGGTACCTTGAGAGTACAGAAAATGAAAAGGAATGGGGCGTGATCTAATATGCAAAAAGTATGCAAATTAGACCAGTTTATTGCGAAACCAGTGTTTGAATGCAAAGCTGTAATACTTGAGTTGTATGTATACAATATATGGCCGAGTGTCCACCAACCAACCCACCCACCCACCAACCAACCAACATAAGCAGCTGAAGCCCACGGCGTGTTTCACATCGGCGTGGGAAAAAAATTTGCCCTGTTGTTACCAAAGCTGCCGGAGTAAAAAAAATCCACAGGTGGTCGCTATTTCTCATTCTGTTGTTTAGCAAGACATGAAATGTAAATGATGTTTAAGATTAGGTTACTAAGTTCACTTCAGGTAAAGAGCTTTATAAAATAGCACACCTTGTTAGACATTTGTTTCAAGATATTTCCAGTTCCAACAAGACATGAAATGCGACTCGGATACGTGTACTCTACTGCTTTGTAGATACTGCTTGATTCCACAACATAGACCTTATGCACAATGGCCACATGTTCCTCTAGGCATGAACCGACATTTATAGTAAAATTATTACTAACTTGAAATACAAAAAGCTCACTCTAAGATGGCTGCTGTCCATGATATGATATCTCACACTTTCCTTACTACTCTTTTTGTAAAATAGTGTAGCATCACTATTCATTTATTTTTCCTTTGGTTGTGACTGTAGATGCATCTAGCCCTGTACAGCTTCGCCAACGGTCAGGTGACTAGCGCCCTCAAGCTGATGTACAGGGCCAGGTATCTGACGTTAGTCGTCTGTGGCGAGGACCACCCAGAAATGGCCCACTTTGATGTAAGTGGGACTCAAAATCTAATAAAAAAATTGCTTGTTTTCCGTAGAACTTTTGTCTATTATATCCTAGTTTTTTACCCTTGCCATAAACCCCTGGCATACTTGTTTTAACCTTCCTTATTTCTTTAAAATCTCTTTATTTTAACGTTCAAAAGACGTCAAGCCCCGTGTAAAGTAAAAGTAGCGTGGCGCTACCTTCTTATTTCACTCAAAACCCTTCAAAACCCTCCCAGTTGATTGTTAAGAAACTGTGAGAGTTAGGGTTGATTTTAATTTTTTGACAAAACAAGGCCATTCAAAAATTATTTAAGATTGATTTATTGACATTGCATACTCGTTTTCAATAACCTGATTTACAGTTTTGTAAAAGCAGCCCAAACGTCAAGTAGTCATATCTCACTGAGTCTCAGAAATGTTGTCAAGTGCAAGTTTTATTCCTGTCCTCTTTCCAGTTACCTTAGAAGCTTATTACTTATTCATTTCATAGACTAGCCATTAAATTACAAAGAATTGAACTATGATTCTCACACTTAACTGATTCTATTGGTAATTTGGTTGATGATTCAGAGCAATATAGGCCTTGTTCTGCATGGAGTGGGCGAATCGGACCTGGCCCTCAAATTCCTAGAGCGAGCCCGCGAGACCACCCTCAAATACCACGGTGCCAAGAGTCTGAAGGCAGCACTCAGGTAAAGCTCAAAATACTCTGCCACAGTTTGCAAACTCGTCCTCTTAGAAATTCTTTAGATGTTTTGGAAAAGAAAGTCTGCCATTCTGTTTAAGTCTTCAAAATCTGACTTGGACTTTCTTGAGAAACTGGTTTAAAGTGAAAAGTTCTCTTTGTTTTACTTCTTTTCTAAGTCTTTCGCCTGGAGAGGAATTTTTTATGGAGGATCAGTTATGGAAATCATCATAAAATTGTTGCTGTCTTTGTTTTAATAGTCACCATCTTGTTGGGCGTGTCTACTCATCTCGTGGTGATTTCCGCACTGCCCTCAGAAACGAGAAGGAAGCCTACACCATTTACAGAGAACAGGTGCGTTGAGTCTTGATTGAGTCTCGCAACTTTAAGTAATAATGATGGTGGTGTGTTAATAATGATGATGCAAAGTATTAAGCTACATTTTAAGATTAATCTTTAATTTTTTCACAACCAAAAAAAAAGTCCTGTTTTTTTCTTTTTGGACTTCTCTACAACCCTCTGAAAAAAAAAGGATTTTTATTTGGGCACAAACAGATCTGCTTTGTAAACAGACTGGCTCCTGGTCCATACATAATCAATGTCTCATTCAAAAGTGAATAACTTTTGTATTGCTAAAAAAAATACCATTTTAGAAAAAAAATCTATTTTTCGAGATGAAACTCGAAAATAGCACGGGTAATGCAACTTAAATATAAAATGGCTGGACTTTCTATCAGTCGAAGTACAATGTAGTATTGAGCATGCGAGTGTGACCTTCATGCTTTTGCAGTACCACCGCAACAGTGTCTTGTAATTGTGGGGTAGCTGGATTGGTCCCTCAAAAAATTACAAATTTCTTTTTCTTTAATCCACCTGTGGGACTTTTCTTGTGTTTTTCCCTCAATAGTTTGGTGAGCACCACGAGAAGACCAAAGAGAGTTCTGAGTTCCTACGTCAGCTCACACAGCAGGCTGTCAACTTCCAGAAAACGGTATGCGCTGAGTTCATTAACCCTAACCACCCCCAGCCCTTGTGTTTTGTTGGAATCTGTTGGGAGTGAGTACTGCACTAGTAAACTGATTATGCTTTACATGGGGTCAGGCATACCACCATAATCAGAGTCCAACAGTTTGGGTTTAGAGTTTACCATCCGGTGTTTGGTTTATGCAAGAGTGAGGAAGGTTCCTGGTAAATCACTCAAGGGGGTTAAGGGGTAAAGACCATCAGCACTGACTTTCCCTCAAAACTTTTAATCAAACCTTTTTGTTTATTGCATCTGGGTTAGTTGGATTTGGGTGATTTTCAGGATAGCGAACACAGAAGTAAAACTTCAGATTGTGAAAAGAGTTGGGATGGGAGCTATAATTTTCAGGTTGCCACTAGTTTTTGAAAATCCCCCATCAGTTACGTCCACAGCGACTTATTTATGGTTCTTTGTTTCACTCTCATTTTTTTTTTAGATGAATGAGATCCGCAAGGGCAACTCGCGGGCAGCCATGCACCCAATCCCATTCAGCCTTCCGTCCATGTCTGGTGTCCTAGATACCCTCAACATGATCAACGGTGTGTTCTTCATCCCAATAAGGTAAGGGACCAGACTAGAGAAGTGATCATAAAACACATGAGCGAGAAGCTTATGAATTGAACTTTCGTATCCTAGATTTTGAAAGTGCTACATTCAGAACTTCACTAAAACAATAGTCCCAACATTTGGGTTTTGCTTTTTTTGACTCGCCCTAAATACTTAATATTCGATCATCAACCAAATATTCTGTTAAAGCCCTTGACAGTTATTGATAAATACTTACTACAAAACACTCCATATCAATCGCCGCAAGCAAATCTTAACTGGCGCACTCTTCATGCAGCTTTTGAGTGGCGCGGCACACATTTGCAGCTGACAATTTTAAATATCTGAATATTCGATCAAACACAGTTTCGGGTAATCGAATACTAAATTATTCGAAATGGACAGCCCTAGTGTGAAATTTCTATGAATTGTTTAAATGATGAAAAATAAAAGAGTGATGTACCAAGTTGCAATCTCTTTTGTGAGTGTGCGTGGTTCTGAAAAGAACAGGGGAAACTCAAATGGTTCAGACAATATGCTCTGCCCATCATCATCAAAAATTGGAACTTATTCAAAAAAAGGTTAAACATTTGTGAAAGTAGTTTCATAATTGAAAATGAAGGCACAGTTTTATGGCTCTGGTGAGTCTCTGCTATCTGTTGTCAAAGAGGCTGCACTTTTATTTCATAGGTAACTAATGAATTTGAACCCCGGCATAACCTCCCCAACCCCATCAAAATTCATCCCCTCAATTTGGGGGATGGCGGACTTGGTCCATTTACTTAAAGACAGTAGGGAGTGTGAAATTAAGGGGGAAAAAACTGAGAACATAAGTGTCTTGCAATGATTTAAAGGAAACACTGAATTATTCATTATATTGCCCCTAACCCCCCTAGGAGAAAAAATAAAAGGCATCCTGTACGTAGTACAGCCATGACATTTGGCCATGGGTTAGCAGAAATGTAATTTTAGCCGTTCACCTCAATTTGCATTCAGTAGAAAAACCCTCTTTTCACCAACATCACTCTGAGAAGGTTGAGGAACAGCGTTTTATAACTGAGGTTTCGCTACCAGAAGTAGCCATTTCCAACAAGATACCCCCGACTGCTATTTCCCAGGTAGCGCCCCTTGAACAAAGCTATTGACAGAAATGGAGAACCTCCAACATAGGGCTGGATAGCTCAGTCGGTAGGGCACTAGAATGGCAATCTGGAGGTCGCAGGTTCAAACCTTGCTCCAGTCAATATCTTTGTTCAACTTTAAAGTTATTTTTGAAGTCATATCAAATTTTAACTTGATATTTTTAAACTGGTATTCCCCTGTTTCAGTGTCAAGTCTAAAGGACTTGCCAAGACAAGCACCACTGCTACCACCAAAATCATCACTGCTGATACCGAAGCCCCCTCCGATAGCAAAGTGGAATCACCCGGTCCAAGCTCTGGCAAGGCATCACCTACTATGGAGACGGAAGGGACCACTGAAAAGGGGGAGGTTCTGAGGTAACCTTCAAGTCCCTCGTTAGAAGGTTTTTTTCATAAAGGTTAGTTGCAGGAGGGGAATGCATATAAGCATGTTGTCTCCTCCGAAAAAAAATTCTAAGAGTTGAACGCAAGAGATGATTGGCTGAACGGAGAACAATACAACAGGGATCTGGATGTGAACTCTCCCCCCTGATTGGTCGAGCTGTGGTCATGTGTGTTGACGCTCCAAATGTCAGTGTCGTGTAGTTGATGATAGACCATGTAATTTGGGTCTTGTAGTTGGTGTCAGCTGGGTTTTTCGCAAAATTAGCAGACTCAGTAATGCATGACAACAGGATTCATAAAAGGAAGACTCCGTTTTTGATCAGAGAAAATGAAATGACAAATTAATATCATAATGAAAATTTTACTGTCTGGTTGTGCAAGCAACTATTGACAAAATTTGTTCGGTGTGGGTTCGTTTTATAAATACATTTTGAACAAACGCTTGTCTGTCTCCACGAGCTGCACAACTGTTAAAAATCTCTTTTTACCACAAAAAGCAAAATGTTGGACATAATATTTATGTCTTTTTAAGCTGTTATTGCAAGATTCAATACGGTGCTCCTCAATTGGTTATGCATTATAAAGTCTTAGGAAATAAAATAATAAATATGAAAATCTTAACAGATAAAAAAATTGGAAGAATGTAAAATACAATTGGCATGGTTGAAGAATATTAACGAAAAGGATTATATTTAAAAAATGATGAATATATATAGAAATTGAAGTGATTTAATGAAATTAGCATTTTCCAGTTACAACCTTTGTCTTTTAGATACCATTCCTAAACTGGCAGTTTTTTAAGCTAGTGTGCTGCCGTCGTAATGCAATTTAGGCTTCACGTCTTCCACAAGTGTTCCCGTTAGTTCGTTAGTGTTTTCTTGCAGTTTTCTCGTAGCTTAGCTTGTTGAAGTTTTAGAAACCTGTGGTAGTGTACAAACAAATTACAATTTGGCGGACATTTTGTTCCCAATTATGTTAACACTGATAATTAGAAAATTTGATGTTTGGAAAAACGTTTGGAATAATAAGCTTGAGGTTAAGTGTTTCATGTATTTCCCCAAAGCACAAAGTCAAACCCTATTTTTGTAAGTGTTCGCCTGAGTGAAAAATGGTAACACTTATTTAAAGTCTTGATTGTAATATTTCTGTTAGCCTGTTAGCTTCATACCAGTGAAAAAGCGATCCAGCCAAATCAGTACGACAGAATTCTAGACAAATTCCAGAAAAAGAATACCTATCTTCCGTGTGTTAAGTCTAGAATATGAAATATCAACAGGGAATCCAATTTTGAGAGTTGGAATCATGTCATCACAAGTCAGTCATAAGTTCTCCAGTTTCAACTCAAGTCACAAGCTTTTTAAATAAGCTGTGGGGAAGGAATTACTTTGGCATTGTTTATCCACTGTGACTTGTGACTGACTTTTGACTGGCTTGTGACGGATTTGTGACTATTCTTATGATTTGCTTGCGATTCACTTGATTGGAACCAGCATTGTAGTAGTCAAGTCTGTCACATGTCCAGTCACAAGTCCGGTCGCAAGTCCGGTCGCAAGTCCGGTCGCAAGTCCGGTCGCAAGTCCGGTCACAAGTCCGGTCGCAAGTCCGGTCACAAGTCCAGTCACAAGTCCAGTCACAAGTCCCGTCACAAGTCCAGTCACAAGTCCAGTCACAAGTCCAGTCACAAGTCCAGTCACAAGTCCAGTCACAAGTCCATCACGAGTCCAGTCACGAGTCCAGTCACGAGTCCAGTCACGAGTCCAGTCACAAGTCCAGTCACAAGTCCAGTCACAGTTGACTACATCACTGATTGGAACTTTAATGTACAACTGGGTGAATAGCCAAATACATTGTATAAACAAGCAAGCAACTGAATTGCATGCACATCCAGTGACCTTCACTTTCACACAATGATAGACACTATAGCGCCCTCCTTTGTTTAATTGCACGAGGCCAATATGGCATTTTTTCCCCCCTGTAGTATACGTAGGCATTTTGTGTTGATGTGAATTTGATTAACTTAAAATATTGTTGAGAAATTAAATAGATTTTTTTTTCCCAATTATAAAACATCTGCATCAGATATTTGTTGATAACCAATTTTGTTTAAAAAATATTAATATTTAAAATGAAATTTTGCCAGTTTTGTGTTTTGTTTTAAACAAAACACAACTAAATATTGCATATTTTGTTAGTGTCAGTTATGAAGTTCAAATAGAGTTTATCGGCAGGTCATTCAATCCCCAAAAAAATCTATCCACAAATTCAGCTCAGTTATTAGCACTCTCAGGTTTTGCCAAAAAATAAAAACCAGCACAATATTTGTTCACATTTTGTTGTTCACATTTCCTGTTGTACACCCATCCTGTTGTACACAGTGCAATTAATTAATACATGAATTGTTAAAATTAAATACAGTGTTGCCAATATACTCTTGTCTTTCGTAATCTGCCTCTAATAAATCCTAAAACCAACTTTATACTAGTGTCTAGTCATGTAGGTTCCCATATAGGTGTCGTTTTTAATTAGAGTTGATGGGAAAATAAGGCCATGTCCAAAACTCTTGGTTCTAGCTATGGTGAAGTCTTCGCCCATTACAACTACATAGGCAGATGCTGACAAAGACGTAGCCATAGCTCTAGACACAAATTTGGGACATGGCTTATATTGAACATTATGATTAAATTTAACGGTGCTATTTAACACTGCCATGGGGTTATCTCGTATTGTAAGGGATCCCTTCTAGGTATGAGAGTCATTTGAGGGCAAGTTTGGGCGCGAACTGTAGTTAACCACAGTTGAGTAACTTTGCTTGCTCTCAAGATGGTCAGACTACTCTAGTCAACTTTTTGGAACCGGAGCAATGGGACATGGTTCCAGCACTGATTACCAATAGCTGAGCGCATCATAAAGCACAGCAGGGCGCCAGGAGCTTTGACCATCGTTTGACTAGAGGCGTTCACGCGATGCTATTAGTGCGCAGGCATAGGTGACATCACAAATTAACCACCAGCCGACTATGTTCCTCACCCAAACTTGCACATAGGTGTAGTTCTATTGTCAGAATATGGGCTATACCCAGGAAACTAATGTAGATGCTAAACAACAACATTTTTAATAGTTAAAACAATAACACTTTACTTAGTAACATTGGGTTACCATCCAAACTCATATTATGTGTATTGCTTGTAACTGGTCCCCCCCGGTGAATTTTTCTTAGCATAATTAGTTTAGCCATAGTTTCTGTTATACAATACCTAAATAAATCCCTGTCATCTGATTGGTAGCTCGTTGATCACATGTCATTGAAAGATTCATCCCAACCCACGGCCTGGCCGCACCACAAAAAATAGAAGCTCTGTTCCATTTAAATAGAATTCCATTGCACGGTCGAACTATTGGTGGAACTGACCAATCAGATGACAAAGATTTATTCAGGTGTTGTATTAAATAATGAATGTTTCACATTCGTGCAGTGGAAAGAATCATTGCATTGGGTGACAGATGGAATGTTCCATTCCACTCGGCATTTCCCTTTGCGGAATGGAACATTCCATCTGTAACCTCATGAAATTACTCTTGCCATTGCACTCATAAACATTCACTATTTGTATACTAATAAGCACCATGAACATGGACATGCCATTGTGTGTTGTTACAAATTTGATTGCACAGGTTAATTTGAAGTTGAGTGTTGCATTGTTTTTCTGGTTTGTTCTTTAGAAAAACATAGGATAATTATGTATCACTAGAAAATAAGATCATAATTATTGGCTGCGTTGTAGCAGTCACCACAGCAATAAAATAGAAATGTCTTTTGAGTTATGTATGCATACGTGTGTGTTTGTTGTTAACCGAGAGTATATAAGAGTGTGCCATTTTGGCCGAAAGACCTTGTTAAGGCTTTGTCATACTTCATGGAAAGTGAAACAAATTCACAAATAAAGTTTGTTTTCCCTGGGTATCGGCCATTGTGATTTCCATATGTATGTGTACAATAAGTTTGGTGATACTGTTCACATGAGTTTATATTTAAGCAGATTTATCTTTGGTTCATTTTTTTCCCATTGAGAACTATACTAAGTAGTTCTGTGCCGAGTGCTTCAGGGAAAACAACATGTGAAAATTGTAATTTTGTGTTAACCCTCCCATTACAGATCGAGAGTTCTTAATTTAAGCACTACCTAGGCAGACTGTCTTTACAGTTTGAGAGTTCTTCATTAATTAAAGCCCTCACTAATAGTTCATCGCATTTTCCATGCATGGTTACAGAATGGTACTACATGTTATGATAGGAGTCAAAATTCACAACTATTTGCTGTCTACCAAATGAAGGTTGTAAAGTGGTCAGAAAATAGCCGTTACTTGAGCTTTTGACTAGTCTTGTTTACAGCTTGGGATGCACCCTTGGCCTTGATTCCAGGATCATACTACAGTTTGTACGTAGTATACATTATAATAGGGGTAAAAATTCACTCAACTATTTGCTGTCGGTAGTTCATGCTCTAGTAAGAGGGGCTCTCAGCACGTTATTTGACTATGTTTGAATGAGAAACTGTTCCTCAGGAACTTGTGAATTATGAAAGTTTTTGAACCACACATTTTGGAGTAATTAAAAAGTTACGTAATACAGCACAAAAAAATGTACGATGTTGCAGCGAGGGTTTTAAGCATAACCTAACCAGACTAGATAAAACCTAGAGTCAAATTTTCAACACCTGTTTTCTTAATAAATAAATATGTAGTGAACAGACTTGATGTATTAGGCATATTGATGAATAACAGTGTTAAAACCCCTAAATAAAAAAAAAATACTTTACTGTAGTAAAAGTATATGGGTTTTGTGCAGAATTATTGGAAAGTTTTATACATCTTGTGTTAACCCATGGTGTTGGTTTTGTTGTTTTGTCACATTACATTTCGTCATGTTTACCGTAAGACACTTTTCTTTGTTTAGTGAAGCCACGTCTGAATCTCTTGTCTAGAATTATTGGCTAGGTCTTTGACATTTACTACTACATGGGCACATGCTGACAAAAGACATAGCCGTAGCTCTTTACACATGTTTCAGATGCGGCTTAAGAGTATATTTTGCCAGGAGTCTGGTTTCCAAACCTGCTGAACTGGGAGCCTGACTAATTCCAAGATGTACTCCACAAATAAAGTTCTGAGATTTTGTGACACACTTAGATGTCATTGAAATATAGATGACTAAACTTTTAAATTAGCTCATTAAATGTCTATGTCAAAATATAAGGTGAACTCTAAAATAGGTCACCAGTTAGAAAATGTATTATTTTGGAGTTTGTATCGATTAATGATTAATTAATGACTTGCTTAGATATATTGGAATGAATGGTGTGTGATTCCCTTGTTCTTGAGAATATATACACATTGGAGAATAAAATTGTATTGATTTGAGATAAACAAATGTTTTATTCAGAATCTCTTTTATAGCCTTACTTTTTGATCAAATTTGGCCAAAAAATGACTTTTCTCCAAACAACTCAGAAATGTCTTTGGATGCAAGAGGAACATCAATCGACCTTCAAACACTAAACATTTGGAAGATTTGGACAAAAATCATCGACTTATTGAGACAAAAATTAATAATTTTCACTAATTTTGGCCGAAATTATCGACGCTTATTTTCTTTAAAACGCCCGATCTGTCCAAAATTCTAGTTCGAATGTGCTCTAGGTATCTTCCCTGCAAGTTTCAAGCAATTTCATTTTTCGGCCAAAATTGAAAAAATTGCAAGGGGTTAGCCTTACTTTTTGATCAACTTTGGCCAAAAATTGACTTTTCTCCAAACAACTCAGAAATGTCTTTGGATGCAAGAGGAACAACAATCGACCTTCAAACACTAAACATTTGGAAGATTTGGACAAAAATCATCGACTTATTGAGACAAAAATTAATAATTTTCACTAATTTTGGCCGA